CAGGTTATTAACTCTCATTTGTGTTTGGTATGTTAAGTTGAGACTGGTTCTACTGTTTTCCCTGACCGCCGGCATGTTTTTGGCGTCACCGCTACGTTGGTGGGGTTCAAAGTGTCTTAACACAAATCGGAACACAAGTCATTGAGGGCGCATGCCGCACAGCCAATGGCGATGGAGTTGTCCTGTCGGAGGTTTTACTGGCGTTTACTCCTCGCGTTTCTCCCCTTCTCTTCCTGCAGTGGAACTTCCCTCTGCTGATGCAGGCCTGGAAGATCGCCCCGGCTCTGGCCACCGGCAACACGGTGGTGATGAAAGTGGCCGAGCAGACGCCACTCACAGCGCTCTACGTGGCCAGCCTGATTAAAGAGGTGCCGCGTTACTTTTTGCCTTTGTAACACCGTTAACTTGACTTCTGAATAAACATTTAACATTATTGAAGAATAGCCGCTAACAAATCTCCACTAATTAGTCTCTCAATTCTTCACAATTGAAGTCCCCTGTTTTTTAAGCTTTTATTGTGAAGCAGCAAAATCCGAGGAAGCCCCAGTTTTGACTTGTTTGCTTTATTTATTTGAAACTTTAAGCATAACGGTTGAGTTATTTAAACATTTTCCTCCAGGGAATTTGTCATAAATGCCTTGTTTTGTTCCAGGCCGTAAATATGTTTATTTCTGCTGTAAAGTCGGGCATTTTCAATGGGGGTTAATGGGGGTTTGCTTTAGGAGCAGCCTCAATTTTCATTTTCATGCTGAGGTTGCCACCTAAATCCCCTAAACCCCCTTGCCTTAAGTACTAAGTCACCGTAAAATGACCTCTTTTAGGTCGAGCAGTACTTCTGACGCTTTTGTTGACTTTGCTGTGTTTCCAGGTGGGTTTTCCTGAAGGTGTTGTGAATATCTTGCCGGGCATGGGACCGTCAGCTGGCGCTGCCATTGCAGGGCACATGGATGTTGACAAGTTGGCCTTCACCGGATCCACAGAGGTAGGACAATCTTTTATGTTATTTTTATTCACAGTTTGCAACACTGTCTAACAGCAGGGGGCTTAGGCTTTTTACAGACTTGTGTACAAGATATGGAAACCTGATTTACCTTGAGCTTTCTTCTCTAAAGAAACCGTTTCAAAGAGTAGTTCAGCTGATGACATGCAGTCCATCCTCATGCCGCCGTACTCTTAGTACGAGAGTACAGCAGGAACTTGTTGTACTTCACTTATTATATACAGTGTACTTCTACTTGTTGCTTTCTTTCAATGTCCTCCTTTAGAAAGCTGTAGTAGTTTATAACACCAACGTCTACACAAATGACATAATTTGTGCTGTAGCTAAGGAGTCACCACTTCTTTCCCCATCTGGGTCCATCAGGTCGGGCATCTGATCCAGCAGGCGTCAGGCAGCAGTAACCTGAAGAAAGTCACCCTGGAGCTGGGAGGGAAGAGTCCTAATATCATCCTCTCTGACGCCAACAGTGTGTATTCCTTAAACTCCTGTGTTTGTATTGTATATAACTGCCACAAATCTCTGTCGCTTCGTCTCTCTGATGGGAGCCAAACAAACACTGTTGGGCATTAACCTTTAAGTCCCGCCCTCAAACAAGGCTTTGAGTTAATAGATTGACAACTCAAAGTCTTGAATTAGCCACTTCTGACCAGTCGGACAAATATCTGCTTTCTAAAATGTCATCCTAATTTTCTTTTACGCGTCAAAAAGACTTTCATGGTGACCGGGTGTCTTTGTCCCTTCAGTGGAAGACGCGGTGGAGCAGTCCCACTTTGGGCTGTTTTTCAACCAAGGCCAGTGTTGCTGCGCCGGCTCCCGGACGTTTGTCCAAGCCGACATCTACGACGAGTTCGTGGAGCGCAGCGTAGAGCGAGCTCGCCGCCGGGTGGTGGGAAACCCCTTCGACTTAAAGACCGAGCAGGGACCTCAGGTGACACACACACACACACACACTCCCACTGTGACGCACTTTTACACATTTTCATTGTCTTTATTTCTTACTATATTTTAGTAATACTTTATTGCTTACATTAACTGAGGGATTAAATCAAGAGTCCTTTTCGTAGACTTCCCATCAAACCAATATCGCCCCCTGCTGGTCATTAGAACGGAAGTTTAAGGCACCTCAACACTGGCTTCACTATTCACAACCTGCCCCGTCAAAAGCCCCTTTTTGCACTGGACTGGTACTTTGTAATAGTTGTGTAGGTAGTCTGTAATCTTAATCTAAATCTGTCATTTGTTCGGTAGAAAATCCACTGTAATCCTCTCCCACACGTTGCCAAGCGATTGAATCAGGTCACCGCGTTAAGCGCTCCGGCTGTGTAAGTGTGCGCGCGTTCAATGCGGTTTCCTCTGCGGTGAAGGGTCCAGGTGGATCAGGAGCAGTTCAACAAGGTTCTGGGCTACATCAGCACCGGGAAGAGAGAGGGAGCCAAGCTGATGTGCGGAGGAGGAGTGGCGGCGGACAAAGGGTACTTCATCCAACCTACGATTTTTGGAGATGTCCAGGACAACATGACCATTGCCAGGGAGGAGGTAAGATCGTGTGGAAGGTTTGAGCTATCGGTAAATCCAGCGAGGAAAGGGGCCACTTCATATCATTTATGTACCGCTTAAGAAAATAATTCTACATTCACACAATGGGTTCAAAGTCTGCTGTTGTTGCCATTAGTTTCTGTGCACACTTACTGAATATTGGTATGGTTGCTATCGAGTCCTTTTTAAAAACAGATCATAGAAATCCAAATATATCTGGATTGCACATGATTGCCGACAGCAGGAACAACTCTGCCAGGATTGCCTGCATGCACATTACGTGCAGCAGCTAACCGGGATGGTACTGACCTTTCATGCATATTCACCCATTTAAAACCGCAGGTCTCCCTCTAAACGTGCATCAGTGCGTTTGGGCCATTTAGCGTTCGCTTAAAGCCTTTCAGTGTCATGGCTGAACATTTAGCTGAGTTCAACAATGTGGCTGCAACACAGTGTAAGAACAAAACGTCTTGACCGCTACTCACCATCAGGTAAAGAGCAAACCTGTTCTCTCTCTGCAGGATCCTCTCTAATGTTGTCAGACACTTGCATTAACAATCTGAGCCTTCGTGCACGTACATTGATGGAGAGGAGTGATTCACAAAACACAAAACACAAAACATAGGAAAATAAGGTCCTGATGTCAAAGACATTTCAACTGCAGTGTGTTCCCTCACGTAAACCTAGTTAATATGTTCAACATCCTCCAAACACAGATGTTTTATAGAACGATAAAGGGAAATGTTTACTAAGTAGATTGCTCGTGTGCAATTGAAGTGGTGCTTCATACGTCTTTGTTTTGTTTTCTCTGTCAGATCTTCGGTCCGGTGATGCAGATCTTAAAGTTTAAAACCCTGGAGGAGGTGGTGACGAGAGCAAACGATACTATATACGGTCTGGCCGCCGCTGTGTTCACCAAGGACATCGATAAGGCCAGCTACGTCTCCAACGGGCTCCGTGCTGGAACAGTCTGGTAGGGGTGTTGATACTAAAATAATTACTTTGCAAAGCTTCGCTCTACGCTGCAGACATCTTTGGCTAATCCCCAAAAGCTGTAGCCTTTATAGATAGATTAGCAAATCTCCCGTCCCGCATCTCAAAGGACCAACAACCACAACACGTTCAGTCACTTAAATCCCCTTTCTGCCCCATTCGGATGCTCTGTTTGAACCACGTCTACGTGCCTAGAGGTGTTGCTGCCATGTGATTGGCTCATTAGCACAAACCTTCAAGCAGCGCTGTGTGACTGTAAATGCTAAATGGAATGTTCCTGTTTACCGCTTTTCTAGTCTTCTGAGCACTCAAAGCACTTTAACATGACATCATCCACACACTGATGACAGGAGCTACCACACAGTGACACCTGCCATCAGTCACTAGCCTCCACACACTGTAGTCGCAGCTACAGGTGCAATGTTGGGTTAAGTGTCTTGCCCAAGGACACATCGACATGCAGGTCAGCCAGGCCTGGAATCGAACCGCCAACCCTCTGATTGGAGAACGACTGCTCTCCACTCGCCCAGTTGCCCAAATAATACAGCCAGTCATTTGTTAGATAGAAAATCTACTTTAATCACCTCCCATATATTGCCAGCAGCCAACATTTGTGTGTGTGTGTGTTTGTATATGTATGTTTTTATATATACAGTATATGCATATCCTGTGTATGTATATAAATGTCTGTTTGTGCCCCCCCTGCAGGGTGAACTGTTATGACGTGTTTGCCGCTCAGGCTCCGTTCGGAGGTTACAAGGCTTCCGGCAACGGAAGAGAGCTTGGAGAATACGGCCTGGACAACTACACGGAAGTCAAAACGGTAATTGCCAAAAATGTACATACTCCTTGCTAAGCTAATGCTAACCTCCGGTGCTGAGAAACAGACCTGACACGGATCAGTTCATTGTAATGTTCATCCACTTGGATACATGGAGACGGTGGCGCATGCAGTAGAGAGGCTGGGAACTGCAAGGTTTGTGGTTCAAACCCTGGTTGCACCATTGTTGAAGTGTCAACCAACATCCAACCCCTAACTGCTCCCCAGGCATGTGGGGAGCACATTATAAATGTAATGCAAGTCGCTTTGGGTAAAAGTCAGCTAAATGACATGTAACTAAATATTTAAACTGTCTCTTGTCAGGTGATCACCAAGGTACCACAGAAGAATTCCTAGACTTGAGCAGTCTGCTGCGAGGCGTCATTCACTTTTCCAACTGATTCAATGTAATCAGATAAAGAGAAGCGATTTGTAATCTGTGACTTCAATAAATGTGTGAACTGGCTCCTGTCTTTGATTTATAAGGGCATGTTAAATAAAAATATGCAACGTGTCACATGAGGCCTGATCAGATGGCCTTGTGAAAACACGCACCATGGTTGATTTACAACTTGCTGATTATCAGTCAAACGAGCTCTCTCTGTGCGTGCGTGTGCGCGTGCGTGCAGTTATGAAAACACTGCAAAAAAGGTAGGTGAAGGTCTTGTTTATTGTTTCTCAACCAGGGTCCATAGGAACTGCCAGCTGATGACCAGACTCATCACCATTTGGTTCAGCTCCGGTTTTGACATGTGAGCCTGACGAGCTCTTCAGCAGCAGCCCTTGAGATTAACAGATTGTTGAAGTGCCCATTTCCTCTTCGCTGATGCTACGTTTACAGATCAAAGTCAACTATTCCTCAGCCTCAACTTCCCCCATTCTCTATATGAACACCCAACGTAATCCAAAAACACTGCTCTGTTTATTTGGTGTTCTACTTGGGAGCAAATATGAAAGACTGACAGAATTCTTCTGCGAGCTGTTGACTTGGACTCTACTGCCCAAACACATCTTTGTCCCATTCCAGCTTCCTCTTTAATAGAAGTCACCCATCAGCTCACATCTCCTCTGCCGGCTGCTCGACCACAAACCCTAAAGTCTGCATGCCCCATCCAAGCGCCCCCTCCACGCTGCGCTCAGGGCCCTGCAGGGCACTGGTGATGGTCACCATGGCAGAGTGACTGGAACCACGTTTGTGAGTTTCTTCTGAACCAAAAGAACCAGAACCCTCAATTTCGGGATCAAACTGGAAGTCACCAAGTAACCAGTCCGTGAAGTCTGCTGGCTGAACAGCGGTCTGGTCTGATTCCATCCCTCCGGTCTTCAGGCTCTGAAGTGTAGTATAACCATATGGTCCTTTGCTGTGAAAAGAATCTCCTGCTTGGCCTCGGGACTCGGTGCCCACGACAGACTTGGCATTGTGTCCTGCTGTGTTAGTGGTCGTACAGCTTGTTTGATAATCTTCAGTACAAAGGTTCATGTCAGGAATTACAGCTCTAGGATCATTTTCAGCAGAACTGGAATTTCTTGTAATATTTGTGGTAACTGAATCAACTTGTGATGCCTTAGCGTTACTGTTGCCAGTGGGCAAACTACTTACAGAACCATTTCTCGTAGCAGCGACCTGTTCTGACCTATTCTGGTCAGACTCAATGCCATCGCCATCCCATTCTTTTTCCATTACCACCTCTTCTGTCTCTCCCTCCTCCTGCAGGCCGACCTCAGCGCTGTGCTTCCATTTTATATCCTCTGCATTTCCCTCAGGGAGGTCTCCATCATTTTCCTCCTCTGGCATCAACTCTTTCCCCTGTGAAAACAGCTGGAATCTTTGATGGTGCTCGTCACTCTTATTGCTGGCCCGTTCTCTTCCTCCCTCTGCTGGAGAAGACGCAGCCATCCTTGGTTTCTGTTCATTCTTCTGTCTGACGTGCCAGCCTGGACTGCTGGCTGTGTTCTTGATAGCTGGAGTAAGAAAAACCCATTTCTGCTGATTTACTGACCATTTAAACTCTATTTGTAAGCTATTTGAACAGTTTTACACATTTCACGCCCCCCCAAAAGCTGTTAACCTGAAATACCACTGCTAAGAGATCAAATCAGTCATATGTAGAATGTGTGATAATACATAACTAAAACGCCGTTGAATTATCTCATCATATCCGATTACAGTGATGTTTGCTTTGGCTAACAGCCAGTGTGGTCATGTGTTCAGTTGAACGGCGTTCTCGCCACTTACGATCGTGAAGGTGGCACATGGAATCACAGCAGGAGCATACTGGGTCTGTGGCCTGCAGCTCCTCCCACCTGCACAAACAACAGCGTGCCATGTCCAGTATTAGAAACCGCGTTCTTCACTCACGGCCGTAATACATCCTTTCCAAGACCTTATTTTTACATGGTGTAACCTGTGAAGAAGGTTCTTTTAAGAACGCTGGTTGCTCACCTGCTAGCGGTCTTGTTGTAATTGCAGGACTTTGATTTTGGGGAAGCGGTGAGACCGATTGACATTGAACAGTGGAGGTACAGAACCTATTACACAGACAGAAGCCACAACACACTCCGTAACAATGCAGTCTTATGCTGTAATGCCCGTGGTATCAAATGTTTGGGTTTTAAGAGTATCTTTAACATGGCATTGCTAATGTCGGGGCTGAAGGTCAACTACAAAATACATTTTGTTTTTTAAACATGCATGATAATTATGCCAAAACGTAAAAATAAAGCCCCAAATATCCCCAATTTCATCAGGTCATGACCCCTCTGACTCTCAGAAGGGGGCATGACCCTTAGGTTTAAAACCACTGGAATAAGCTTTAGAATTACAAAAAATGGCCTTACTTGTGAGACTGCTGTGAAGAGAAAGGCATCCACAGAGAACTTCACCACATCGCCCTCTCTAGCCAGGAAGCGAGAGCTGCTGTCCTCTCGCCGGCTGTCTGTCATGCAGCTACAATCAAAAATCAGCAGGAGCACATGAATCAGGAAATGTAAATGGATAAACCAAAATACTATTTGGGTTCTCACTAGAGACGTACCCGTAGTTAGAAATGATGTCCACACTGGGCGTGCTGCTTGGGTCCTTGGAGCTTGTGGCGTAGCACGAGTTCACGTAAAGCGTCTCCCCGGCCAACAGAACTTCTGCCCGGGCCACGAAGAACACCGGCTCCCCTAAATAGAACCAGTGGTCTGGAGGGACGGGCTGCCCCCCGCCTGGTAACACACACAGGCAAGACACAATTAGTACATTTAACTTTATTGTACATATTCATCTAAATCATTGCTTGACCAACAACCCAGATTTATTCTTTCAGATTTCTAGCTCTCGGTTCACCTTGCACCCACAACGCGGGACTAGTAGGTGTCATGTCAAGTTAAAAGTTCTAGATTTGGTTAAAACAAGACGCAATGGCAATTTTATGCAACGCATTGTTACATGTAACCCACGGTAAATATAGAAACACAAAATAAAAAACAAACAGACCATACTGTCAAAGCGTTACCATTGGAGACTGTGAGGATGTACTTGAGTTTGCTCCTGATGCTCTTCACAAAGGTTGTGGGCCAAACTTGAGGTTTGAAGCCAACTTGGTAAGAGTAATGAAACCTGAGACGGGGGGAAAAAGGACACAAATTACATTGACGTCTACCACATCATCCCAAAGGTCACATTCAAACAGAGACTGAGCCCATTATGAGAGACACATACCTGTTGTAATGGCAATGGATGGGAAGGCTGAGCGGCAGCACTCTGATGACGTGGCCTTGTGGTGGTGGAATATAACGCAGTATGTGGGTGTACACCAGCTGACCACCAACAACCTGAGGGATTGATGAGGGAATTTGTAAAAAACATTTCAGGAGTTCAAAGACTTCAACTCAGCCAACCAAAGGAGTCCTGCAATTTGTAAACGGGATTTTTACTCCTCCAGATTCCTTCATCTCAGTTGATGCATTTGTTCAGTGGTGAAGTCACGATGTAGGTTGTTCATAAGCTACACAACCTCAGGCACCACCATTGGCACATGATAATTTAACCAATAGCACGCTGGCATGAATTCTGCAAAGGGATTTCTGTCAACACGTTAGTGTGTTGACAGAAATCACAACCTCCACAACATCCATATCCAAATGGTGCATGACATCCAGTTGTTAGTTTTCTTTTTACTTCTAGCGACTACATTCACCTTTTAAAAATAATTTAAAAAAATATTTCATTTATAAAAATTATTTGTAAAAAAAAGTGCGCGTATCATAAACGTGTTTGCTACGGAGCTCATTCCGTGAAATAGTCCCATGGGTTTTTGGGATGGTAACTTCCGGGTTGGCCTCCAGAAGCACCTGTAGAGTTCAACCCCGCCCCCCGGACCCTCACCGCGGGCTCCGCGCCGCACTGCGTCAGGCGGTAGTGGAAGTACAGTGCGCGCGGGTCGACCTGGCTGGCCGGGCACGAGCCCAGGTAGAACAGCGACGGAGCCGTCCACGCGCGCAGCTGGGAGCGGTCCACGCGCACAGAGACTCTATCGGCGCCGCAGTAGACCTGCACGGCGCGCGCCCACGCGACCTGGACGCGCTGCTCTGCCGCCCCCGCGGGCGGGTTCAGCAGCTCGGTGAGTTCGGCGGGAAACGGACTCCTGTGAGGAACCGGCCGCAGCAGCTCCGCTGACACGAGAGGCCCAGGTGAGTGCAGGAACATGGGCAGGTGGTGGGACGGAGTGCGCGGGGCTCTCCCCGCATCGGTCCTCACTGGTTCCAACCACGTCCCGCGCTGAACCGGACCCCCCAGTGCACCGCGAAACAGGGCCCAAAGAAACCACCACAACTGCGGCATGACTGAAAGACGTCGGCAAACAGAAGTCCGGTCTCATTCTGCCTCAGCGTCATTATCACACCTGCTGCGGGCCCCGCTGATTGAACAGCCGGTAAGAATAGTAATGCTGTTCATCAGTACTGTTAAATGACGTCACAAATACCCTAAAATGTGCTTCCATTTCAATAAGCACTGACTGATTTTGACACGATGTCTTCTCAGTCAGTGACTCAAACTACATCAAGGGGCATTTCTAAATTAGTTTCTAAAGCCATGTGTTCAGCCCCAGGAGGAATTGGACGAAATTAAAAAGATACATTACTTTTATTTAAGGCATTTCCGGCATCACAGGTAAAAGGTTCGTTCTCTGCATTTGATTTGCATATAAATGAGAAGGCGGGTCTATGACGCGGCACACTACCTGTCACTTTTCGATTTCAGCGGTACTGGATGCATCGCCACTTAAACCACCATAATTCTATTTTGCACTAACAAGGGGCGTGAATGGGTTGCTTTTGCTTTTTTAAAAAACGCCTTTTACATGTAAATCAACAAAATAACATGATGACTTAATCCCACTAAAGGAATTTCATCTCATATTGACATCATGGTGACATTATGGTGTTGTAAAGTTTTCTCTTTAGTTTATCTTGTATTTAAAATATTTAGTTTATTATGTCTGTCTTTTGTTAAACATTTTGCAGCTTGTCTTTGATATCAATTCGTTTTGGACGCGCATCCCACGCCGCGTGTACCGTAACTGCAGAGACAAACGCGCGCTAGAATATTACGGTCGCCTCGAATTAACCGTGTGTTTAAACGCGCGTGCTGTCTACAGGGTGAAGCTGCGATCGAGGGACGAGGAAATATACAATTCAGCGATTGGCATTCATAACTCACCACCCCTGGCCTGACGGACCCCGACTGATTTCCGGGTCACGTGACTGACGCACACTCCGCGAAGGGGAAGTCGACCGTGGTCTGAACCGACCGTAACTGGAGCAGTAGGCGCGCACTAAAGATACACGCAGGCCTCGGTTGGGGACCGGTGGCTCACATGACCGCAGCGGTGCTGCCTCCCTGCGCTCGACCCGCCGTGCAGGTGCCGAGTCCGACGCGGCACAGCGGGGAACAACAGCACTCCGGAGGCGTCGGATATTTCCACGTGATCCGTTGTGTGAGTGTGTCCGTCTGCCGTCCGCTCAGGTTGTCGCCGGTATGCTCGTGATGTAGGCCGGTAATCCTGCTGGAGGTGGGTGATCGATTATTGTTCGGTAGTTGCTTTGTTTTAAGGACTAATATGAGTAGAACAGAGACGTCCCGCCACATGCATCGCCAGGCGTCTTTCATGACGTGCAGGCTGGCCGGGGGGTGGCAGTAAGACAGTGGTGTGGTTCTGTTGTTGCGGTTCTATTACGCCCCGTGCCTAGAGATGTGTCCATTTACACGCTTAAGACCTGGCTGCATGCACCTGTAATCCTGCTGCAGGTAAATTTACGCTCATTGTTTTACGTTAGCTTTGTCAACGACAAGTCGAACCCCCCCTGTAATGTCATCTTCATTGTAACACGTCATGACTGATGCAGATGGTGTACGCACACACACACACTCTCTCCAGTCCACTACAGTAACAAGCGATGTTCTCTTTCTTTTAAAGCTATAGATGATCAACTGCAGCCGATGGGAGGTTTCGTCCAAGCAGTATTTATTAAGTCGTAGTCATAGAATTTTATGCATGTGTGACGATTAAGAAACAGTCTGTGTCCCACCTCACTGGGTCTTTTTGCGTTTGAGCAAAATGTTTAAATGGCAGTTCCGATTGTGAATGTGTGGTAGGTTGTCGTGGGTGGGAGCGTTCAGGCCTCGTTAGAGGAAGAAATGCTTCTGATACACGGTTTTTAGTGGAAGCTTTTTCCAACGGCAAATTCAGTGAACAAATCACAACCAAAATCAAAATACTATTTTAACAGAAGTTCATATTTCCTATTTTTAATCAGTTTAATTTGGATTGAGGTTCAGTGTTAGTATACAGATAACCAGACAGGTTATTATTTTGGACCATCCCTCAAATTTTAAGAGATCAAAGGCTCCTCTATATATTTACACGTCTTTTTTTTTTTCCAGGACAGAGCGGTTTGAAACTACGTTTTTACACCAAGTATAGCGGAGGAGTCCAAATCAAGAGAAGCAGGCCTCTGTGATTCATGTGCCTGTCAAGATGAGTACAGACAGACCCAAACGAAATATCATCAAAAAGAAATATGTAAGTGAAATGTCCTTCATCTCTTTATTTCTTGTTTGTTCAGATGGCTCATTTATTTTCTCAACACACACATGACACACACACATGAACAAAAACTAGTCTAGTGCAATCGTGGGGTAGTTAACTGTAATTATTGACATTTTTTCTTTTCATTTTGTGTCTAATTAATAATAATAATCCTGTAATACTCCTGTGTTTGCAAAGCTGACTGTGTGTGTGTGTGTGTGTGTGTGTGTGTGTGTGTGTGTGCGTGTGCGCTTTTGCAGGACATCAGTGACGGGATGCCTTGGTGTGAAGAACGTCTGGTCCGCAAAGTTCTTTTCCTCTCTCTCAGGGAATTCAGGGACACGCACCGCGCCATGCACACACACTCGCACAGACACACACGCGTGTCGGAAAACACGCGCCTACAGCGAAAGACGCAGGCGCTGCCGAAAACCGCGCGCGCAGGACCGAGTGCGCACGCGCCCCAGCAGAGGGCCGCGCGCAGGCCACCGAACACCACAGCTAGCACGCACACCGCAAAACACCCACAAGGCAAAGTGCAAAGAAACAACTCGTCTCAGGACTCGCACACGCCGAAAAGTAAATGCACTCACCCACTACAGAACAGGCGAACGCAATCAAAAACGTGCGGCGGGAAAATGAAGCGCGCCGTCCAGCACGCACACCTACGAGAAAGTACACGCGCCTTCCGGAAGAATTCGGCAACGACAAGGACGCTGCGCTCGCACAAAAAACAGAAGGCACGGACGCTGCCGAGCTCCAGATACGCAGAAACCGCCAAACGGGCGCACGCTCCTCAGCAGAAGCACTCCGTGAAAAGCACCTGCGCACCCGGGAACCCGCGGGCGCTGCTGAGCCCCCCCGGCGCCGCCCGGGCGCTGCGGTCACATGTTCCCACGCGCCTCAAAGGTCAGTGCCGCCAACGCTCTCCTGGGGTGATTCCTTTAAAAGTAGTTGCTTCTCATGACGCCGTCCTGCGTCCGTCAGTAACGATATCGCCGTATTCATTAAGGAAGTCAGTTCTAACTGTTGTCTTCAGGCTCCCGGGTGAACGGCATCAGCCGCTGTCGCTCCGTCCTGTCGGCGAGCTGGAGCTGGTCTTTACCGGCACGCCCTCAAGAGCGGCGCCATGCTGGCATCCATCGCCTGAAGGCCGCTCCGGTGTGCGTGGAGAAAAGGTGTACAGACGGGCCTTAATTCTGTGCAGCATTTTGAGGGGGAGATTTCTGCAAAAATGGAGCATAATATTCATCATTATTATTCATTATTGCATAATAACAATCTGTGTGACAGGCCGCGGGTGCAAGCGCAGAGGAAGTTTGCCCAGTCCCCTCCCAGCTCTCCGGGACCAACAGTTTCGAGGACACCGGCACGAAGCAACCACGTCCACAACCTGTCCGTGGTCACCTGTCTTACCCGACGCCGGCCCAAGACCGAGGACTTCTTGTCCTTCCTCTGTCTGAGAGGTGAGCAGCACAGGTAGTATCAGTTGGTGCAGAAAGGCGTTTGGATTCAGCTGATGCTTCTGGATCGTCATGGATCCTTTGCTGATGTTTGACGATCAGCTTTAGTCTCAGTTAATGAGACAAATGTATTTTTCAAGAATAAGGGAATGCAAGTGTTCACAGCATTAAAACATTAAGCACAAGAAAAGCACAATTAAGTAATAACTAACAATAAACGGGGGTAAAGCAAACAGCAAAGTATTTAGTCTTAATATACCTGCAGCTTTCTGGGAGTTTGCTCCAGATAGAAAAGAAATGTAAAGAAACGAGCTGCATGGGAATTCTATAGTTCTTTGTGTATATCGCCTCCGGAATCAACAACGGCGTTTCCTCTTCCACTTCAGGTTCAGCGGCGTTGCCTAGCAACATGTCCTTCTTAGCCAGCGGACGAGCGAAGGAGCCATCTGGCGCTCAGCATCTCGCCTCCTGTCGCTCCACCAATCACAGGACCGCCGCTGAGTTGAAGACCATGAGCATGATCAGTAGAACCACAGGTACCCGTTTACTCGTCCCTCTGTGAAGTGGCTTTTGGTTCGGGGTGCCCTCATTTACTTAAACATGTAAAACAACTTCTATTGTCACACACGACACACAAATTGTACACAACACACAGTAACGCTTTTCTTCCACAGGCAAAGTTCTAAGTACGGTCACATCAGCCTTTGGGAGTGTGGTAGATCTTTTAAATACTAGATGTTTAAGACATCTTTGACGATTTATACACCAAACTAAATGTTTAACTTCAGTTTTGCTCTTTGCTTGACTAAATGTAACTTTTCTGGCTTGTTTCTCTGTCCTGCAGCACAGCGAGACTTTAAGTCTCTGCGAAGGAGGCCTGGCGGCTCTGCAGTGGTCACCTCCTTCTGTCCTCCCACTGCCCGCGCACAGAGGAGGCAAGAGAGGGAGAGGAGAGAGGAGGAGGAGGAGCAGCAGCAGCAGCAGAAGAGGAGGCGGGAGGGGACGGAGGAGGACAGAAGAGACGGAGCTGAAAGCCACCTGCTGAGACCTCACCAGCTCTCCCTCCATGTCAGGAGGACTGACAAGGTCTGATCATCTCTCCTTCACAAAATGTGTTCCATCCATAAATTTATCTTTGTATTTTATGGGAATGCTGGATAGCCACCGCCCCACTTGGCTTCTTAACTAAGGTTAGATACACACACACACACACACACACTCCGCAAGCTACACTTTATTTGAGCCTTTGCTCAGAGCATAAAAGCTTCAACCGGAGTGCAAGGTGAAGACACACATTCCAGTCACTGTATTCAGAACACCTGTGATCACCCTGTTGGCCATCAACAATCAAAAGCAAACCGTGTCAATCACAAAAAAGCTCCTTTTGTCAAACCTTCCGTTCCATCCCGGTCCCTCGTGGCAGTTCAATATATGTGATGCGCTGGAAGAGAGGAGAGGAGACCTCGTTGTCCATGATGGAACATTATACTCTCGTATTACTCTCATTCCCCAGGGCCTCAATTCTGAGCTGTCGTGACCCCTTTCCGTTGCAGGTTGCCATGGTGACTGGACTCTGTGAACAAACCACCTTCTGCGTCCGGTCCCTTCCTACATTACAGCCGAGCCCTGCAATGGGGAGCAGGCGCCGCCCCAGGCCGTGCAATCGGCAGGAAGACACCTGTAAACCACAGATCCAGGACTCCAACAATAAACACCTCGCCCGGCACAGCAGACACCAGCTGCCCCGCAATCAGCACCTTCCGCTCCACCAACGTGCCGTCTCCGACTACTATAGCAACCCCATGACCTTCGGCAGTCTCCAGAACTCAGGAAGACACTCAGCGAGGACTCCGCCTCTGTGTAACGGCCCGGTTAACAGGACGGTAAGTGAGAAGCCCGGCGTCCTGCGCTCGTCCAGGAGAAGGAGAGGTCTCCCGCCCGACACCACCCTACTGAACGGGGTTCTTTTGGACGGCAGCTCGTCAAAGAAGTGCAGGACAGTGCCACTTGGTGACGGCGATGTCCCGCCGGAGAGTGAGATCCCACGGAGGGAAGACCGCTGCGGCAAAGATGTGAGTCACGTTGGTGGAATCCCCCGCAGCCACGAGCGCGAACTGGAAGGAGACGCCTGTGGCCGTGTTGGAGAGACGAGAGCAGAGGGGGACAGTTGCGTTGGCGACGACCAGCGGGGCAGAGCAAAGATCGAAGAGTTAACTTTGACCAGCGTCTCTGCTCTGGAGCCCTCTGAAGAAAGGGTTTACCCAGCCGACACCGCCGCACACTGTGACCTCGGCCACGTCGGTGAGGATCCGCACGGACATGCGAGAGACGAAAGGTGCACTTTGTTCACAACTACTACTGACCCTGGGCCTGTTTCCAGAGCTGCTGCTGCTAGGACTCCCATGATTAAAGCTGCTCTCAACTCGGTGACAACTGACCCCCCGGCCAGTTGTTCTGCCACGCACACTCCAAAGGCTACTGGCAAGAACGCTGCCAAGTGCACTCCACCAGCCATCAGTTGCTCCATCCATGATTCCAATGGTGCAGCGAAAGACTCTTCCGAAGGCTCCACTGAGGACCCGACGGAGGACAGGAGCTGTTCCAGCACTTCCAAGGGCTCCGCGAAGGGCCTCGCCCAGACCAGGTCTACTACCTCAGCCATTAAGACCAGGACCAGCCCCAGAACTCTTCTGAAGCGCTAACACACCCTCGAGCTTCGCCTGAAAACTTTCCAGAATTTACTAAATCAATTGATGTTGAAGACTAGTGGGAAGGTTGTATTTTTTGTTTGTTTTGTTGAAAGCATTGGATACTGTTCATCTCTTCATGATGATGTTTGTTGGCTGGTCAGATACTGACGCAGTGACTGTGTTCTGTTCTTGACATAAATGATGTGGGATTGTTTAAAAGCTACGTGGGTGAAATAAATCATTTAAAGACGTGGTATAACGCTGGAGACTGCTGCTTGCAGTGGTTTAGTCCGTTTTCAGATGCTTCCCTGCTGTGTTTGGAATAATAACTTGATATTTTTCTAAACCTAATCCTTATTAAGATGGAAAAGGCAGTGTGTGTTTATAGAAATACTTTTAATTAAAGCAATGAGTTTAACTGTAGAGTTCTACCTGCCAACGCTGTGGTGCTTTTTGGCCGTCTTCGGACAGTCCTTCATTTAAACAGCAAGCATCTGGTCAGGATGGGCTACATCACCAACATAAAGGGTTTATCAATTATAATCCTCACATTTTTTATGAATACATTTATTCAAGTCCCCTTTTAACAGTAGTGCTCATATGAACAACAGGAAAAGGTTTTAACGCCGGTTTATCCTGTCCAATAAAAGTCTTTTCAAAGTCTATAATAGTCCATAATGGTAGATGTGTCCTCATACTGTGTCCCTGATATTACTAAAACGTCAGAAGGTTCTAACTAATATCAGATGATATTTATTGGTTTGCTTAGATCAGTAAATTATTTTACCGCAATGCCGTAGGGAAACGGACAAATATTTGGTCAACGATATCTAAGGCAACCATAAAAGAAAATAAGAACTGTACAAATGTGGATTTTTTGTATGAGAATTTTCAATAAAATCACTTTGCATATTTATCTACTGGATGAAAATCGTAAAATAACCGCTTCACACAGAAAATAACCATTTGGTTTTTAATTACGCACCCAGTGTTGCCTTCAGATTCATAAGGAACAATTTGTTTTTCTCACATGTCTCTGAGGGAATGAAGAAACCAGGTCTTTCAAACACGTTCTCAGGTTGTCTCTTTTATTTGATTAGCAATGTTAAATACAAAGAAAGAGAAGCGTTGGATGATGAGTCGGCCCTGCTGTCCAATTATTGTCCAATTATGAGCATGCATGATGCTCTTCTGGGTGCTGGTTTCATGGAGGGGTTTCCTTCCAATTGCAACGTATCTGTGTTTGAGTACCAGGTTTGTGAAGAAATCATGTAATTTAAGCGGGGGAAAAAGACGGACATGCATTTGTTTTTTTCTTATAAAGTAATGGTCTTTTGTCCATATTCACTGGCGACAACTGTGGTCCGTTTACCAGATCAGGGGAAGCTCTTGGAATTTAACTTAACAAGGAAGGAAGAACCCGAAATCACGACCAAACCCTGACAGAGCGCGAGGCTCTGCGGGGACAGAGGGGGCGCTGTGGCGTCCACGGTACAGATATCGGCCCTTTAAGCAGCGAAGGAGACTAGCGTGTCTACACCCTGAGTTCAGCCTTTCAGGCGGCTTTTCTGCTCATGCGGCCATTCTTATCCTTCCTAAACGTCGTGTACTTTGTTTTAAACAGTATTTGACTTTGACATAACTGCACCAAAGAGTGACTATAACGTGTTTCATAAGCCGACAGGTGTCAACTGTGTTGGAATCACTACGCACGAAATAGTTTGAGAAAAAGGAGGGTGCCTGAAAGACCTGGTTGAGGACAAAAAAGATGACGGGTACGACTACCAGAACTAGTTTACAGCTAAAAACGGACCAGTGCATCAGTAGTATTGACAGACAGTTTTGAGGCAAAACTTTTTGTAGATGTCAAAGAAACCGGAACTGAGAGGAATCATGTTTGAAAACTTCAGAGAAAGACTTCACATGGTCCAGCAGGATTTCACGACGGGGTGAGTCCGCTTCCCGACAGATCTCTGCTCTAGCTAGCTGATAAACAAACTGCCACCTCGTATGTCATTAGCATGTCATTAGCATGTGTGGTTAGCTTAGCTGACGTTACGTGCAGACTCTCTGCAGGGTGCAGCATGCACTCTTAACGTTAAACACGTAATAACAGGTGACATGGGATTAGCTGCTATGCTAGCTGAAGGAATGTCGTTAGATAACAGTCGTAGTTCGGCTTTTGTACCATTTCACTGGTAGGTTAGAACCGTATTGTTAGTATGCTATTATTATGTAGTCGTATATCTTGTATGTAACGTTATATGCTATATGAAGTGATAATATGATTTCAGTGACTGGTTGTTCTCGTCTCAGCTGGGCCTTATTACTACTAGTTATTACTCTCAGCTGACCGTCATGTGACAACTTTTATTTTCTCCTGCGAGGGGAAGCTGAAGGCTCAGTGATGACTTAACTTAACGTTATATCAATAACATAATTAGCCTATGGGATTTCAAATACCCCATTCCAACAATGTAATAAAAAAAAAATACACTTTATACAATTGACTGAAATCAAGCTCCAATGAATTTCCCTTTTTTAAAAGCAGCCGTGCTTCCTTTCATTGCTGTTTTGGGTCGTAGGCACATTTGAAATCTTCTGGAAGCCTCTTAGTGGCCCTCGTACCTGCTGTCAGTCTGTCCTGCATATCAAATGTCGGTGTCATTGAACCCCAGTTACTAGTTGAGTACTTTGGAGTCTCGCTCGCTGTCTCTGTGGACACTTTTGAATGATAGTTTTAGCACTTCTGGTCAAACCGCCTGTACGACCTTCTCAGCTTGGTGTTCGAAGGCAAAGGACTGTTTTCATCCGTTTCTTTCCTCCCTCCAGCTTCAAGACCCTTGGAGACAAATCCAGAGACCCCAAAGTCCGGAGGAAGCCCCGGTGAGCGTGTGTGTCTGTGATCTTGAGGTCTCTGGGGTCAAACATTCTGTGTGTGTGTGTGTGTGTGTGTGTGTGTGTGTGTGTGTGTGTGTGTGTGTGTAGGCGGGGAGGGAGAGGCTGCAGCGGCATTTAAATTGACCTGCTAAATATGTCATCTGTCAGTGAAGGAGGAAACCCAGAGTCTCTTCTCCAGTGGTGTGCAATGAAAGATGTTTCATTCTTTAAATTGTATGAATGCTGGCGTTGTTTGTTCGTTAATTCAACATTGTGTCGTTGTCCTGTCTGCTCAGGTTGGAAGAAAGCCTTCCTCACTTCAGCGCCGGGCTGGACATCCTCAGCAGGTCTCCATGCACGCACAAACAAACACACATTTCCCCTGTTCTTCTGCCTTTAAGAGGACGCGGACATATTGCGTTTGCCCCGTACAGTCATAAATAAATGTTTACGCCTAATCCTAACCAAGTCCTCACCAGGGCTGAAACACGCCATTTTTAAATTCAGGCCTCACTGTGTAGCAAGTACAAGAAGAGACACGCAGTCAATTCCCTTTGATGAATTTGGTGTTTGTGTTTATAATTTCATTAGGTATGAGGAGAGCTGGTTTCTGCTCCATAAAAGAACCAAAGACTGTGCTCAGACTGCAGAGGTACGACCGCCACACTGTTCAATACATCCTTTTTTTTTAATGGATCCACTCAAAGTTCCGTTTTTTTTTTTCCACTGATGTGCTTAAATTTTTGTTAGTGTCACATTTCACAAAGCAAACAAACAAACAAACAAACAAACAAGTGAACGGTAAACTACATTCATCCTAATTTCTTCAAATTGTTTTTTCCCCCAATTTTGTGTGTGTGTGTGTGTGTGTGTGTGTGTGTGTGTGTGTGTGTGTGTGTGTGTGTAGGCAGTAGACGGGGACATAGTGATGCTCTCAGCACACTGGGAGAAAAGAAGAACAGCTCTGACTCGATTACAAGAGCAGCTACAAAGCTTGCCGACCTTCATCAGTGATCTAGACGCCATCACTGCTAACATAGGTATGCAGTCTGTTCCCCACTACGACTGCCACGTTGTCCAACAGTGGACCTCAATATGGTTTACAATTTTAGGGGGGACGGGGACGGGGGGCAAGTAGTCTGTCTGCTCTCTGTCTGCTGCAAACATGCTAACTAGCTACGCTGGCACGGGATCTTCGATCATCAATGGTGCCCAAAGGTGAAAACCCAGTGCTGTGGGCTTGAGCAACCACAGAGAGAGAAGTTGTGTCGAGAAGTGTGGATGGGCCGGGGGGCCGGAGGGCCGGGGGGGGCTGAGGTGGGTGTGAACAATGAACGGTCAGTTAAAGAAAACCACATAAATGAAATCATGCTGACCGGAGCCATTTCTTTTCTTTCCTTCCCTGTCAAATGTTTTTCATCTGGAAATATTTGAATACACTTTACGCTAAATCACGCCCACTTTTCAGGTGATCGTGTGAAATATGGACATATGATATGCAAAGTATGGCTGATGTGCTTAATGTGATGCCGTGTGTCTGCAGCTCATATGGAAGGGGACTTTGAGGAGATGGAGAGCCAGCTGATCTACCTAGAGACTCTGTGTTGTCAGTGTGAACAGCAGAAGGTCAAACAACATCACGTCAACCAACTAGAAGTCTATAAGAAAAAGAAAAGGTAGAAGACGAGCGTTGCTCATTTGAATGTGAGAATAGCTCGTTATTGGCGCTCAATGTTTTTAAAACCCACCGTGAAGATGCTTGAAACTGCTTCGTACTCAACATTTTATTAAATCATTTAGTCTTGTGTTAAAGCCAAATGGGTTCAGTAAGGTTTTGTTTGTAAAGAGTTAATATGTTTGATGAGAAAACATACTTAAACTATACCTTGTATTTGCTCCGATTTTGAAATGATTGTTTGCAATCCTACAAATTGGCCCTTTTTTACTGTAACAAACAATCGGTGAAAATGATTCTTGATTCTTTCAAGTAACCGAATCCTAACTTTGTCTAACAGGAAGGAGATGGAGGCGCTGGAAGGTGAGCTGCTTAACTCTCATCAGTTCAACACCATAGTCACATTACTGCACAATAAAGGCAACTTTACTTTACAATACTGTAAGCATTATTTAAAAATAAGCGTTACCCAACACCACCATCACCCATGCGAAAGACATGTTTACTCTAGTTATTCTCTGTAGCATCGGTAGGTTGGCTGTTGGATGAAGTCTTTTTGTTTCATGAGCCTGTGAAGCTGTTAATCTTGTGAAATGCCAACAGCAGACACATAACGGTACGATGTAAATAGTTTTGATTTTCACCAGTGGCACTGGATGCCGAGCACGCTCAGAAGGCGGCAGAAGTGGAGCAGGCCGTGCAGCAGAAACTGCGAGAACGACAGAAAGTCTACGAGGAAGCCTTCAACCAAGACGTGCAGCAGTACCTCTCCACTGGATTCCTGCAGCACAGGGGTGAGGATGTCTGTGCCGTCTACTTTCTGTTCATTTCAAAAATAAAACCACTGGTTGAAATAGAGATGTTTAAAGTTACAAGGATCTGCAGACCATCTCCACACTGTATTCAACCACACTAAGTTGGTGCTTTAAAAAAAGAGCAGTTTTAGCAGTTCATAGTGAAGGATTGGTACCTTAAAACGGTACTCGAGTACAGGTAAAAGTACCACTCGGGTACAATTACAAATACCGGCCACTCTTCTTTTTTTCTTCCCCGCTGCATTTCTATTAGATGGAACTATAACTGACATCACTGCAGGTAAGGAAGTGAACATTGACTTTTTATGCATGGTTGGTTTTTGTGGTCGTCATCAGCTGCAAACACAACAGCACGATATTCCCAGTATATTCCCCATTATACAGGATGTCTCCTGTACTATATTTATATATAATAAGAATTATAAATTTGCAAAGTACGTCTGATGTGCATGATGCATTTTGTAAGTTAATAATAGTGGTTTGAAGAAAACGTGTGTGTGTGTGTGTGTGTGTGTGTGCAGAGCCAACGGGAGCTGATGTGCGTGTTCTGGATCAGATGACAGTAACTAACATATCGGACCAGGAGGCTCTGGACGACTTCCTTAACTCCACTGGTGACGATGACATCAGCACGGGATCATCACTGACCTCAGGTAGGTCCCACTCATGTGCTCATTAGGACTATGAAGCACATCCACTAGAGTGAAGCTTTAGTTACTCCGTGAAGTAACCGTCGTCTACTCCGACAGGTCCAGACCCCGAGTCCTGCTCTTCTGAATCTTCAAAAAGCCCTTCCACCCGAGCCCCTCCCACAACCATCCAAGCGGCCAACCAGGACGCAGAGTGGGAGCAGGAAGAGGAAGTGGCCAGCGAGCAGAGCGATGAGCCTCTGGTGCAGTCGGACGAAGAGGACGTCCATCCGGACACGTCCTTGGTCGGCTTACAGGATGTTGGCACAAGAAGCGGCTCCGACGAGAGCGACCCTGCAGGGGATCTAGCCTCTGGGTAACCTAGCAACCAGGCCCTTAAATACCTGGCAAACACTTCCCACATTGGCAGCTGGAATAGGAAAAAATAAACATGTTCCGATTTTTTTCCTTTACGATTCCGATGTCTGAGCTTTCGGTTCACATGGTGCCAATTACCGATCAGATATTAGTGCATCAAAAACCAAAACGGCCCTAAGTGACTCTCAAATACCAATTTAATGTTTTTGTTCAACATATCTCTTTCAAACTGTATTTATTCAGGTCTCTCACAATGGACTACAATTTGAACATGTCATAATAACATTATAATTCCCATTTTCCCAGCCTCTGTTAACGCAGTGCTGCTAACAGCTAACGTTAACAAGCTCTCCTCCAGCCGACCTCAGCACAGATCTGTTGTTCACGACGTAGTGTTGTCAAGGAGAAAATGGCGTGTGAGTGCATCTGTGCAGTAGAGATCAGGACGTGAGGATCTGGGAGCAATTGACACGTGTTGTTGTTGCTGGCATTTTTGACACTGTTATCAAAATTGAACATGACCGTTGCCACAGTCTCAAGAGGTTGTGAGTTGTTTAAAGCCTCAATCTGGCTCAATAATGCCAAAGAATTCACATTTACAGTATCCTCTTACTTTTAGGTCCAGGCCAATCTAGCTGTACCGTGTTTATCTATTAAAGTCCTCAAGATAAAGATTCTTTGTATTGTATTTCTCTTGGTCCTCACTAATATGCAAGAAGCAGTTGGTGCATCGACAGTACGTTTGATGGAACAGCTGCTGTCCGTCGTGTCTTAATGGTCTTTTATGACCCGGCAATCTCAATACATTTCTGTAAACTACAAGTGTGGCTGGAGTTTTGTCCTCTGCAGACAGTTGCACTGATATAACGGTGGTGCTGCTGTTCTATCCTACTTCAAAGTCCAGACGAGAGACAAACCGACAGATGCCCAAATTGCCAGTTAACATGTGCAAGAGTGCAGGTTTAGCTGTTTATAACACTGAGTCTGGGTTTTGAACTCATCGTTTCGTAATGTGGGATAAATGCATCGTGTTAAATATACGGCAGCAGTGACAAGTACATTTCCGTCTGAATTGTAGGAAAGTACAATGTAACTTGTAGCACTCAAACCAGGACTGCAGGTCGTCTTACAGTAGAGCGGCTCCGTGATCAATGTCTAAGTGTACCAATTTAAAATCAGGTAGAAATTATGCAAGTGGGTCAATCACAGGCAAAACAGACGGGAGAGTTGCTGACACACTTTTAATGACCATTAGAAAAGGAATGATTAGTTAGGACTGAAATGTACTGTGAGTAGTGATTTACAAACATTACATACTGTTATCATCCACAGTTGCAATGATCCCATACTATGCAAATAAAGCAGAATTAATAAAGTGGTTTTAGTTGTAACAGTAAAAGACAGTAATTTTAGTGTGTTATGACCTGGAATACATTGTTAGGAAATAAGGTGTTTTGTAAGCAGGGTGGTTTACAAGCACCACCATCATGATGTATTCCACATTTCAGTGAATGCCGGCCGATCATTTGATTGCAATGAAAAAAAGGCTTTAATTCAGACATTATTTTGAGGCGTCACCAAACATGCTACATGCTTATGCGTAACAACCCCTCACACCATTCTGCACGCCGCAGCTCGTCTTTCCTTTGCAGGGTTTGTCCTCGCAGGCCACCCTCCCACCGCTGCACGCACACAGGCGCCGGCAGGCTGAGTCGGCGTAGAACTTTTGACCCGACACGACGTACTGGCCGCTGAATTTGCAGCCGCACTCAGCGAGTGGCACGCAGTCACCCTGGAAGGTCAAAGTTCAGTCATGACAATGTCCCTGTGTCTCATGTCCCTTCTGAATGCAAATACTACTGAAATATCATCCATAACGTTTGGTGGCTATAACTTGTTTGTACCTAAAGTTGGCTATTTATTTACTATTTATAATTTCTCGGGTAACAGCTCGAGGGTTGCTAACGACACCATTATTACATTATTGGACGATCTCGTACCTTATTGCTTAATTAATGTCAGGCTGCTGAGAGAAGCCGACTCAGAAGGGTCTTAAATTGGAATTCTCTCGGCTGACCAACAGGGAGAGACTCTTCACATATAAATATAAATATACATTGTATTGAGACTGGAGACTTCATGAAGCCGATGGGTGAGGTCATGGTGACTAAATCCACTTCTTGTATACACTTCACTTTTCCTTAAGCTGTCCCATCCTTCTAGCTTTGCAGTGTTCACTAAGTGAAGAAGGATTACCTGACTCAGCACGTAGCCGGGGTCACACACGCAGCCCTCGCTGGGCGCGAACTCACACTTGGCGGGTGGAGACGGAGAAGTGCAGCTGGCCGGGCATCCGGGAGCCGCCACACTGTACACACTATTTGCACCACACTGCATCCCTGAGACACACACATAAAATGTAGTAAATTCACACACACACACACACACACACACACAACAGTCACATGATCTGTGCACGGAGCGCTTACGGCAGAGGGACTTCGTCCGCCATGCCTTCACGGAGCCTTTGTGTCTCTGACACTCGTCGACGTAGTCGCTGATGATGGCGCAGGCCGCCTGCTCCCTGCCTTCGCTGAGCACCATGTCGTAGACGCAGTCGTCGTGGTACTGCTTGGAGTCTGCTCGGCCTAAGCAGTCGGCCATGGGCCCGTCCTTTGCTGTTATGACATCACAGACCGACGCGTTGGCGGGTGGTTTGAAGTCGGGCGGCAGCGGCTGGGCGCAGTCTTTACCTGGCAGACCGAAGGCATCAGGAGAGACACGTCACACGACATGTCACTCAAACAGCTGACATCATCTGCCATCGATACAGTCTTTTTTTTTAAACCGTAACCCGTCATTGTGAAAACGGCAGCGCAGATCATTGGTGCGCCCTTAGTGCCTCTCTGTTTGTTACCAACCAGGTCCAATCGAGCATTATTGACATTGTGACTCCACCATAGAGGCGAGATGTGGTGTTTGACTGGATGTGAGACCGATGTGTAATGATTTTCACAAAAAGGTGCATCTCTGAAATTGTGACGGCAAGTTAGGCCCGTTACAGGGTCAGAACAAAATGTTGGTGCAAGGTGGGAATATTCTGTGAAAATAGATAAAAGATCAAAGTTATGAACAAGAAGGGAAGATGCATCATTTCTTATCAACATTTTCTTCTTCTCCTCTGAGAATATCAGATTTTTTTCTTATATAAATTTGACTTTAACGTTGGTTATTGTTACATTTTTCTCGTTATATTAACTCTTGCCCCAGTTCCATCATAATGAGTTTGTTGACCTACAATGGCCCTAATACACCGCCAAAATAAAAGCCCTTAAAGATGCAGAGCACTGGCTGCTTACAGTCACGGGAGCAGCCCGCAGCGTCCGCCACCCACTGCTTCATCCCAAACTCATTGGCGTTGGAGGCCAGCTTCCCGTTTGGCAACATCAGGTCATCAGCAGGGTCTTTGTTGAAGTTTCCACAAAGACCACAGGTCGCATTTTGATAACTAGTCGCCAGGTCCACCCTCACTGCACTCTCATAGTCAAACGAGACCTTCACCGATGAGAATAGAGAGGACAGTTAAATCATGCTGAGACATCTTGGCAGTGGCGATCAGGAGTAGCACAGCAGCGAGCAGACGCAGGACCAACACAGTGAACTCTGAATGCCGGCAAAGACACTTCATGGATGAAGGTGCGTGGTTTGGTGTACATACCTTCAGAAAGCTGGTTTCAATGACAGCTTGTCTGTATCTCATAGAAACATGGACCCCCGACGGAATGGATGGATTTGATAAGGGTAAGACGTTTTCAAGCCCATTAACCTGCGGAAAATACACACACAGGATTATTGGCTGTATTTGTACTTCCAGATGGTTCATGTCAGCTTATTGCTCAAATATTGATCGGTAAAAGGGAATGTCACGTATACTAGGTTGTCCACTAGAGGGCCCTACCAACCTTATTTTTAAATATCCCTGTCAGTACCAGCTGGCAACCTCTTTCTTTGAACACTGCTTAAGTGGCTTAAACTGGCAATTTTTTCTGATGGCCATCAGGAGGTGACTGGTCACACCTACTGGTTGTAAAAAGAAGTCTGATTGTACTTCTTTTTACAACCTGATTGTATATATATATGTATATATATATATAGCTACTAGCAACACCTCAGTTGAGGTCAGATATTCTACCTCAACTGAGGCTGTTTAGAGTAGGTGTGTGTGTGTGTGTGTGTGTGTTTTCCTCACCAGCACTCTCCCTGGGTGGTCCACTGACAGTGTGTACGTGCTGCCATATACATTAACAGACACCACTTTAGCATAAGACACTCTCTTGTTGCCGCGGTTGTTGTTCTCCAGGTTGACCTGTGATCATTAAGAAAGGGAACGGTAAAACTCAGGACGTATGACACACATCTTGGTTCTGTTGACATACAGGTACAAGAAATCATTATTTCATAGAATAAGTGATCAGATCTGATCAAATAAAAAATCACCATATGAAAGTTTTATTTATATTGTTCATTTTTTCTTTTATATTTATCTTATATGTTGTTGTTGTCTTGTTCCTTGTTTGTATATTTGCATTGTATTGCATTTTATTCTTTAATTTTTTTTATATTGGTCTCTTAATACTGCACCAATCACCAAATTCCTTTATGTGTAACAAGGAAAAATATAAACATAAATATTGCAAAAAAAAAAGTATAATGAAAATGTGTGTTGGGGATGTGTAAGCTTCGACCGACGTCAGGATGTTTGGTGCTTCGCTCACCTCAAAGGGAGTCAGACCCGCGTGGTCTCCACACGTGCCGGCCAGCCGGTACACGCAGTTCCCCTGGAAGTCGAACCTGCGTCCATCGAAGGAGCTGAAGTGCGGGTCTCCGCGCGCGCTGCAGGTCTTGAAGCTGACTGGGTAACAGTCTCGGACTCCGTCCACGACGCCGCACTGCTCTCCGGTCCGGCAGCTTGCCTGCTTGCACTTCACCTTCCGTGTCTCTGCGTCACACGTACATTTCTCCTGACACAGCGAGTTGGACCAGAACGTGGCACCTGGCAGGTAGTAACGGTTGTCGTGGTTACAGCCACAGCCCTCCTCCTTGACAACACACCTTTAGACAGATGAAAAAGGACGTTGACGTGAGAGCAGGGAGCAGTTTGGACGAGGAGACACGAGTCAGGAAAGGGGGGAAGCTGTGCTACTCACTGTCCTCCACTGAGCACGTATCCCGGGTCACAGAAGCAGCCTTCCACGCAGACCTTGGGGCAGATGTCCGGCTGAGGACCACAGGTGGGGGGACACGCCGAGCCGCACAGCTTGTATTGGCTGTGGGCTGGACACGCAACAGCTGGAGGCACAACAGCAAGAGCTTAGGAGACAGAAAGACGGCGGCTACCCCCACCCGCTGACCTCAGCACATTATTAACACCCTTTCAAAAGGATTCTATCCCGTTTCTGACTTTTGTCTGTATCCAGCATTTAATCAATTTCTGACTAACAATTAACAATTAAACCAATAGATGAAAATCTGGAGTAGTAAACGGACGGACATGTACAGTTTACCATTGTTGTTCAGTTTGAATTCACCACGTTGGGGACACGTGGTGTACTGAAAGGTACTGAGAGTGAACTCACAGCAGTTGGCCAGTTGTCTCCACGGCGACACAGACGCCCCGGCCTCCTGGCACTCGGCGAGGTAGCTGCTCAGGGCCTCACACAGGACTTCTCGCCGGCCTTCACTGACGCAGACGTCATACAAACAGTCCAACACAACCTCTGCTACGGGGACGCTGCCATGGCAACTAGAGAAAGGCCCCTTCTTGTCACTCAAGATCCCACAGTAGTCTGGACCAGTGTACCTGAGGAGGAGCAAAGTCAGCTCAGGGACATTTACACAGGCTTTTCTGCTGAACTCAAAGTCAGAGGTAGACGTGTTTCTAGACGGGTACCGTGATCTGTCTCTGTCAGGGTGTAGGGACAGGTTTTTAAATAATTGCTTTTATAAAGCGTAGCTTTAATGCATCACTTATGATAATCCAATCAAACTATGTTTCATTCTGAAGGCAACCATTCTGCATAGTGGTTTACTTTTGTAACAAAGAAGATTTTGATATTGATTCAACTGAAGTAATATTTGGAAAGCAGGACTTGTATTTGCATCTGATATTTCCATTAGCCCCGGCTGTGCTTTGGGCTCGGTGGTAATTATTAGATGATAAGGGAAGAGGCGGATAATGTTTTGTCTACAAATACCCTTCCCCATATGATGGGTCATATGACCCCATGTGACATTTTGTTATAATTGGTCAAACAGTGAAATCTTTACATCTTAAACTTCTTTCTAATCAAAAAACACTCTCACTTTCAACAAAATGAGACATTTAAGTCACTATAGTGCCGTTTAAGTCACTAACATTACCGTGTGCGGTCCTTCTCCGAGCACTGAGGACACACGCCTTCACAGTAATGGTAACAGAATGGGTCGTTGTCCTCGACGCTCCACGTCGCCGCCCACTGCGTTAAGTTGACAGCCGGAATGCCGCTTGCTGTCGTAAGTTCATCCTTCTTGTCGTCGTTGTAGTTGCCACAGAGTCCATTAACGTTACCAAAGTAGCTGCTGCTGAGGGACACCATGACCAACGTGGACCAATCAAAAGTAACTTCGACGCCAATATTAGTCTGGATTATCCCTTTGATTCCAGATTGTGTTATGGAAAGGCTGCCTTGCTCAAGAATGACAGGAAGCACCGTGTTAATACCGTCAACCTGAATAGAAAGAGGGAGAGGGACACGATGGGGACGGAATCAGATGTTTATGCTGTGATGAATATTTAGTGCTGACTTCGGGTATGTTCGAAATATTCTGGCATCCTTGGGTCTTAAAAATAAATGTTAATAAAACTAAAGTAAATTAATTAATCATCAACGCAAATCGGGAATTGGTTGCAATAAAGTTGAAGGAAAAAGGCAAAAGGGGCCTTTTGTGTTAAAAAACAAACCAACCTCACTACAAGTTGGAGGAAATGTGGTTTCAAATTAGACGATGCAAATTTTTGAGTTGGTAAAATGAACAATTTCAAAATGTACATGTGAATCTCTCCAAAATTATTTTTTATGTGCAAAGGCGGCAAAATCCAGGGATCGTGTGCCTTGGACTGTGTTCCACTGTTCAGGTTTGTGAGTCGCCCTGGATGTGTGTAGTTCCTCATCAGAAAATGATTCTGTTGATTCACGCCTTTGTTCTCACTAACGCTCGTCCCTCTCCTCATGAACCCTGTAGCTCGCTGAACCCCCGTCAACACCCTGCATCTCGCCACATGTCATGCCTAGTGTGAGTTGTTGTGTTGTTCATTTCATCGAAAAGTACAATGCCATCATTACTTACTGCAATGATGGCTGACAATCAAAATAGGTTTAAAAAATGCCAATATTTTCTTGACAAAAGATTGAATCAGACTGATTTCCAGTTTGACAGAGAACTGTGTGAGAAGGGGTGGTGTCCAGCCCATGTGTTGAGGTAAGACCCACCAATACGACCCCTCGGTTGGTGCTTGGGATGGTTATTTGATGGCCCAACATCTCCACCGTGGCTGAACGCACAAAGGAACCTTTAAAGTTCCCACGGAGCTCATGCTTGGTGGTCACAGTTACTTGTGGCAGGGAGGGGTCAAGACCTGAGAAAGTCAGAATAATGTTAACGCTAACAAGAATACGTGTTTCTAACAGCTGATTAATGCGACCATCTAGTCAACAAACGCTGGCCGCTCGATTGGACATTTTCATTACACACCATAGCTTCCTGCTCTGTAAACTGCTGCCGCCTTAGATAAAAGGATGTAATTAGAATGTCAAAAAAGTAAACGATAACCGTGATGCTGTAAGCCTTTGTGAGGAACGTTCCTTTTGTGTTAGTTTGGCGGCCCCTGTGGTCTCAGCACCAGACTCCCTTTAGAAAACCTCTCATTTCTCATCGGATCCAAGAGATGGCAATGTTGAAGCTAACATTATTTCATTCATGGATCAGGCAACTGATTAACTTAAATGAACAAAAAAACATTTGGAATTTACAGAGATATGTCTGGCAACACCCTCCTCTCCAGATGTGATACATTTCTTTGGACGAAGAACGTGAACGTGCATCTAATGGTTTCCTAAGGAGACTTTTTTGCTGTGTGAGTCCAGAGCAGATCAAACAAGTAGACATTTCTGTGTTACTGCAATTGCAAACCTGTGGTGTTAACGAGGACGTAGCTGCAGGTTCCCTGGAACGAGTAGGTGAATTTGTCAAATGTGCTGTAATGCGGGTCGCCGAAAGACCAGCACTGGGCCTTGGAATCAGGAACACACACTCCTTGGCCTTCTGACACCTTACAGTGCTCCTTCACTCTGCACGCAACCTGCGCACACGGGTCTGGAACACACGCATCACACATCATTGGTCATTATTGTCAGTGACCTGATCAGGATTTCTGTAAAGGAGATTTTTCTCAGCTCGAGGTGCAGATTGTAGGAACTAATCTATCATGTTAGAGAAACGGCAAACATCTCTACTGAAGTTACCGCCAACACCCTGAAACTTACACCCAAACAATCTGTATGGATCAATAATAGTGGTAGAGGTAGAAGAAATAAACAACACAGATTTTATTAACCCTTATTTTTCCCTGTGAGAGCATTTCATTTACTCACTGCTGATGGGGGAACATTCTTTTTGGAAACAAGTTTAAGAAGATCAGAGTCATTCAGCAAGTATTTGACCTTTGAAGTAGCAGCCGAGGGTTCCATTGATGTTGCGACATTCCTCATTCTGTTTGCAGCTTGTGGAGTTGCAGCTGAAGATTCCAGACTGGCAGACACAGCGCTCCGAGCAGTCCTCCCGTACTATTGATTCACCCGTCTGAAAAGAGTCAGTTGTGCATTTGATAGGGTTAGTAGCCACTTGTATCTTACTAAGACAAACGTGCATATTAATTATTAACCCGGGATCCTTGAGCCTTGTTCTTCTGTATTAGTGTGATTTGCTTTCATAACAGCACTCGCCTCACACATGTCACTGACACAACAATGGTGACTCTTTCAATAATTCTTGATCCTATGGAACATTTCATTTGAGTTAATAACTTCAATTAGCCAAATGTTTGACCCCCCATCAAGCACCATGGACGTGGACTAACATCATAGCCCGAATAAGGGTTACAATTGAAGAAACTAACAAGGACGACGGTGTTTACCCCGTAATATTGTCCATCCACCACGCAGCCACATTGCTCAACAGGAACACAGCGGCCTCCGTCGGACATGAGGCCGTCGTCACACTGGCATCCTTCCTGGCAGGCCGGGCAGGGCCCCGACTCCTGCAGAGAGAAGCACGTGGAGGAGCAGGAAGTGGAGCACAGCTCATAGTGACTTCTTGCTGGACACTTCAAAGCTGCAAAGAAAAAAAAGTTTTTCAGGATTTCTGTTCGCTAGAATTCAAGAATTATAGCAGACGTTCGGTACATTTGGTCACGTGACGTTGCAGTAGATTGGATGGAATGTTGTCAGGTGAAACAGATAACAGGCTGCAGCAGGGGTAGGGTTAGGGTTGCTGTTCTTTTATGGATCTTTAGGAGAATCCAGCCTTGCTGTTTCTAAAGGGAAAACGTCTGGCGTTTCAACTTCCCCATGACACGGTGCCGTGCCTCCGAGGAGGAGAGAAGCAACATCGGAGCACCTCAATTCACATCATAAGTATTTCATCCAATGTCGTTGCACTTGGTTGGCATTTCATGTCCAATGCACAATACAGCAAACGCCACATTTAGCGGCAGCCAGTTGGATCAGACTTACGACAGAAAGTGTCGCTCCTCCATTTGCTTATGTTGGCGCCGGCAAGTTGACACGCTGTGACATAATTCTGGAGGTGACGACACAGGACGTCTGCGCCCCCTTTGCCTGTGGACATCTCCCTGGAAACAAAGTGTAGTTTGATTACAGGAAAAACCTGAAACGTACATCCAACGTTCAACAATCGGTTCCTGTCACATGATGGGACAGACAATGAATGAATTATCTAACAAGATCACTTTCATTGCAGGTAAGATGGAAAGTCATTGCATCTGAAATGAACAACCGTGTGGTACAGTAGGTCAAAGATTGAAGCGGGAATTATGGAACGGTTAGTTAATAATTATTGGTGGCCTTACCTGTTAAAAATGCAAAATGAAATGAGCAAATATTAGCAAAAACAATGCAGAACTGCCACAGTCAGATCACTGATTGCTACGTTCCTGCAGTGAAAAAGCGCTAAAGGAGTGTTAACCGGTAGCTGGAGACCAAGGACTACATACTGAGTCACGGTAACTTCGAGCTGGAAACACTGTTAAGGCTTTTACACATTAAGCGTGGCAAATTATAAACACCAACATGCAAAAAATACTCTCCTGCAAACTCTCTGAGCTACTGTGAGCTATTTTCTTTAACTTTCTTTTAGTGAAAAGCTGTGAGGGAAATGTAGTTCCCCTGGGAAGTGGTTGTATATGTTAAGGGGTTTTATTGTGAAAGGCGGGAACAGAAGGGCGGAATTTGGTCTACGTTGCGTTGATAGTATTTATTAAGTCTACTCCCGTTTATGTTGTTGTACACTTAAGTGTATGTTTCAAATTTGTCAGTATCTCATGTGATTGATGCCTTTATTTTATTTGGGAAAACTGGAAAATCTCCCTCACTCTGGAATTTTTTTGTTATTCTGCGTAAATATAAGACAAATACTAAAAAACATACTGAAGAGGACATTATTTGCACGACAAAACGCCCCACGATATGATGCACACTTCGACCTGAGAGACATTTCCTTGCCTGACACAAGCATCGTAGTTGGGAGTTGGGGACACTGTTGCGTGGCAGCCTGCAAATGGGCCCTGCTGGGCTTTGATGACGTCACAGGCCTTTTTGGCTTCCGGGACCTTCTGCTCGTCTGACTCAGGGCAGGAACCGGCACCGCAGCTCGTGTCACAAGACGTATCGTCCTCCGTCACGGCCCAAGCTGCTGACGTGTCCCCTGGCTGCTTGCCCGCCAGGTCGTCGGACGGCTTGCCGTTGTAGTTGCCGCAGAGACCTCGGGGCGAGCCGCTATAGGTGGATGGGATTTGTAGGATCACACCCGCTACGCTGTCGTAGGTCAGCTTCAGATCAAAGTCAGTTTCGACTATGATGTTGATGCCATTTTGATGTGCTCGCACTTGTCCGTTAGCCAGTGACACGGGAAGGGAAACTCTGATGTCATCAACCTGAGACACAGAGGGGTGCAAAGCATTTCGTCACGAGCCGCTGGAACAGTAGCTCTGTCCCGCCTTAGGAGACGCTCCACATAATGAATGTGGCTTCAATACTAAAGGCTGGAGTTCTTCTCAACATGAGAGATGAGATTCCCCGAGCATCCCTGGTAGCAACTCACATAAATATGATATTGAAAGCCACGTGGACTAACATCATAGCCCGAATAAGGGTTACAATTGAAGAAACTAACATGGAACGATGCAATACAGCCTGGATCTCCAGCAGTAAGAATAAAAAGAGATGCTTAATATAGAAATACTATATTCTACATTCAATAATACCAATAAGACGTTTCAATTGAGATTTAGTTCACAAAGTTACCAGAGGAAGTTTAGCATCATTAGAGAAATGTTGTAGCAGAGCATATTGTTAGACAGTGTTTTCCAATACTGGTCAATCATACCTTGATTTCCCAAACAACCCCAGTCTCCATAGTGATCTTCATGTCGTAAACATGGAGCGCCACACTGCGAGAAACCGTGCCGTCCTTATAGGTTTGCTGCCGTACGAACACAGAGAAGGCTTCCATCCCTCCTTCAACCTCCTCCACTTCTGCCAACATGAACAAGCAGTTTCCCCACAGAGGATACGCCTAGCGGGTGAAACAGAAGGGATCCAAAGCTCAGGTAAAGTTTGGGGTCAGACAGCGAGGTCAAGGTCAGTAGAATGCAACAAAACCCACATACATCAGGGGATTCTTTCTTGATGTGCACGCTGGGCATCACATACCTGTCCGTCAAAGGATCTGACGTTTCTGACGCCGCTCACAGAACAGGAGCCGATGCTCTTGGGAGAACAGGAGGCCACGCCCCCTTTCACGACACACATCTCATTGGCTGAACAGCGGAATTTCGGATCACACTGTACTTGCCCACCTTCTGAACACACACACCGGGTGTCACATGACTCTCGTGGATAGAACACCTGAGAAAAGAAGACACACGTCCGCATGATGACGGTGGTCGAGGAAGAAGTAACGGCGTTCGTGGAGGCGCCATCTTACACCGTCGTACCTGTCCATTTTGATAATACTGTCCTCGGTACTGACAGCCACACTCTGCTAGAGACACACACTTATCGTGACTCAGCAGGAATCCGTCATCGCACACGCAGCCTTCCGTGCAGAGCGCGTTCCCGTCGCAGCCAGCTTGAGGGCCGCTGCAGGTCAGCTGGCAGGTGGGGGCACACATCTCATAGTGGCTGTTTGCCCCACACGACGGAGCTGGGAAAGAGGTCATTGTCATGTGATTGTTCTCCTCACAAACATTCCAAACGCGGGACTTCATTGGGAGTTTTGGATAACTCACTAACAAGCAACACTGACGCATTTCAGGGAGGTGAGCTCGTCTCTGAGAGGATCATTTATCTCTACAGTACCGGCCTACGTCCAATGCTGACGGACGGGTTTATTTACACAGATGTTGCAATCTTGGCTCGTCCTCCTGCAGATTGCATCGCACTCTGTTTGACATTGAGATTCTGAGTAGAGAATAAACCACGAAGATGAACCTCGTTCTCAAGTTTCTTTACTTGAGTATCCTTGGACTCACTCGGTAATCATGTAATAATGTACTATTGTACTATTGTGTAGATATTGTTTTTTTTTTTACCAACAACAACACTTAGTCTGTTGTTGTGTGTTTAGATGTACCAGGTGTGCGGCTCAGTGCATCGTTCGACAGGTGGCTCCTGCGTGGATGAGCAGTGTATCTTACGACAGAATTGTTCGGTTCTCCAACTCCCCACTTTCGCTCCCGCCTCTTGACAAGAGGTGCTGAAAGTCGATAGGCTGTTGCAGAGGGCGGAGGCGTGGCCTTGATACGCGCACAAATCAAAGACGCAGTCCGTGAGGTAGGAGCTGTGGTCCAGTTTGCTGTGACACTGTCTGTATGGGCAGAGACAGAGAATAAACAAAGGGATGCGCTGTTCATCTTTTTCTCTGGACGTTAATGATATCTGACCTCGACTAGTTTATACTAAGCACAGGTATTTATTTATTGCCCAACCCAGCAGCACGCGCTACCTACCCAAACGGTCCCAGCTTGTCGGCGATGATGCCGCAGTAGCGCCGCTCTTGGTAACGTGATATCAGCGCCGGCTCACACTCTGGACATTTACCAGCAGGACAGTCACTGGTGCAGCCAAGGTCTCCTCCTGCCTACAGTTCAGGGACAAACCAACCTGTTTTAAAGCTGGAGGATTTTTCTGTTTTGCCCCACCTTCTCTTGACCATTTGATAGTTGATGAAGAGCCTCCCCCCTCATCATCATCGTCTTTCTGGACATAACTGTGGTGCGTGTGGACGGATGTGAACTAGTTGTCAGGCCATAGTTGGGGTCAGTTAGAATACCGAGGAGAAGCTTAGTCGTCATTGCCAACTGTCCCCCTGGTTGGACACGCACTTAATGTGTCCAACTGTGGCTGCTCTCAAGGATCCTCAATCTCACCTTCCAGCTGTCTCCGAAGGAGCTCACGTGTGTCGTCTGGGTGCCGTCAGGTTTCTGTAAGTCATCGCCAGGTTTTCCATTGTAATTTCCACACAAGCCTGAAACAAGCAACAACCACAGCAGTCACACTTAGAGCATTTAGTTAGAATACCAGATGTATAAAAGAGGAGCCTCCCTACTTACCTCCAGTAGCAGAAGAGAATGAACTCGGTAAAGTCAAGATGACGTGGCTGTTCCAGTTGAATTTGAGCGTCAAACCGAAATTTGTGGTGACAAGGCCAAAGTAGCCACGCTGGAAGAGGGAGAGCTTTCCATCTTCAGTGGAGTAGGGCAGGTTCACAGGCCGGCTGTTCACCTGACGCAGAGCATGGACACGTGTACAGAATCACTGTGCACAGATAAATGTATACATCATATTTATATGTGATATAAGCAGGCTTGTTTTAAGATCATTTGTATTTTTTAAACGTCCTTTTTGTTTTAGCTCATATTTGCAGCCCAGAAATGACTGTTTACGTATTAAGGATAAAAGGGATAAAAGGATAAATGAGACGTGGCGTGTCTGGAATTCCATATCAACATGCTACGCTAAAACAATAGCGGCAATTGTACAGACAATTCTATTATAGTGTAAGCATAACATTTCCCTCTGATTTCGGATCTCACAGATCATGGTCTGGTTACGTTTGGCATGGGTTACCACGGTAACGCGGCTCCAAGAAAGTGACGTGGTAATTACAGCTCAGTGTCCCAAAAAGACTGTTTATTGATACAAAAGTTTTATGGGCATGTTGAATGTTAGCAAGGGTATTATGTACTGCAGGGTGTGTGGGTTTCGGAAGCACCAATTCTTTTTTATTGTGTTTGTTGAACCATGTCAACCAATAAACCTACACCAGTTAGCTCCTGGCTAAGCTATCGCCATGTTTAGAGCTGTGTGGAGACAACAGATATGCTCTGTGATTGTGCTGCGTGCATGTAGGAGTACTGTAACCAATCTTACCACCATTCTCCCCGCATCGGCGCGACTCATGCTGACAGTGAGGTTACCAAATACAGTAAGGGAGACAGACTTGGTGTAAGCCACAGCCTTGTTACGGCCTCTGTTCTCATTTTGGACCAGCACTTGAAACGGCTCCAGGTCCTGGTCCAGTCCCTTGGTGTGTTGGGACAGGATGTAGGTGCAAGTGCCCTGGAAATCAAACCGCCGTCCGTCAAAGCTCTGGTAGTGGGGGTCCCCAGAGCCTTGGCACGTTGCATGGGATGTCGGGTAGCAGTCCCTGACGCCGCCCTCCAGGGCACAGTGCTCCGTCTTCTTACAGGTGACTGGTTTGCACTTTGGCACAATGTGAGAACACAACATCAGATCACAGTGAAAGAGACAAAAACAGCACATAGTAATCGTGATGGCGCAGGTGTCTGAACGGAAACACACACCCGCACACACCAACCTTGGCGTTTCCTCCAAGGCATTCACACTTGGTGGTGCAGGTGTTATCACCCCAGAAAGTGGAGGCTGCTGGGTAATAACTGCCCTTATACTGACATCCACAGTTACGCAGAGGAACACATCTGAAACACACACACATAATTATTAAATGAACAGCACATACAATTGTTATCAACTGAAGCATATTAATTAGAAACATTAAACAATAAGATAATGATGGTTTAGTGTCGCTAATTAACACGGTTCAGTTGATGGTATGTTTGTAATGTGATAACTATTGTTCGAATCCGGTAGGTTATTCTACTGGGTTTACTAACAAGCTTTTATTGTAAGGAAAAGTCACATGGGATAACTTTGGTTAACTTTGCGAATGGAATCAACACAAAGTGCACAGTTTGACTCCAGATAAGTGCGCTTGTATGTCCAGCAGAACGGTTTATCCATCATATTATTAGTAGTAGCCTCGTAGTTCTGTTACCTGTCTCCACTTAGCACCAGTCCATCGTCACACCGGCACCCCTCCACACAGGGGCCTTTACACAGCTTCTCGCTGTCCGGGGACACACAGGAGGCGGGACAGGGGGACCCACAAGCCTCGTAATGGCTTCCTTCGGGACAAGAAAGGACTGGGGAGGGAGAATAAATGTTACACTCTCTTTGGCTTGATGGATATTGAAGTGGATATTGATTTGGAAATGTTCTTTTGAATCTGTCTGGAATATTAACATTCAGGTTAACAGAAAATGTATTCATTACACCTCATCTTTTAAAAAGTAATTTTCTACCACAATCAGGACATTGTCAGCAACCTTTCGGCTTGATCAGAAATAATCTTAAAACAGCCTGGAAAGAGGGCAACAAGTACTTCACACGAATTAATATAACTACCAGAATTAAAAAATACCTTAAACCAATTGTTGTGAATAAGATAATGCAAGAAGCATAAGATTACGGACGCTTCAATGCGTAATCCCCCCCGCTGTAAAACCCCGCTGTTGCTCACTTAATACTTGAGCTGTCCTACGTTTCCATGGTGAATAAACACAGCTTTTGAGGTCACTCACTGCTTTTGTTGTAGCTCTGCACTGCCCCACTCCTCACAACCTCCCTGCATGACAAGTTATAGCACTTCAGAGGAATCATATGTTTCTTGGCAACTTACAGCATTTGGTAATCATTCTCCACTGAGGGTTGACTTTCACATCCTCTGACATGCAGGCATCAGCATAACTCTTCAGGTTATCACAGAGAATCTGTTTGGCGCCTGGACAAAACACGGACACTTTAATACCACAGGAAGTGGAAGCGTGACATGAATCCATTTTCATTCACTAGTTTTTTTTACGTCATATTTTTTTTGTGCATTCTGCCTCAAAAACATCTTCCAATTTTCTCACCTTTATTGACACAGACATCGTAGACACAGTTGTCCAGATACATAGAGGGGTCGACCTTGTTGTGGCAGGCTGAAAATGGCCCATCTGCTTTTGTCAGAATCCCACAGAAGTCAGGATGGTTGAAGCGGGCCTGCTGCTGCTGCGAACACTCGGGACAGTGACCGGCACAGTTATCATGACAGAACAGATCGGACGTTTTGGTCTTCCACTTCTGGATCATGGTCAGCACAGCGGATATACTGGAGCCTGTGAGATGACAGAAAGTATGTTAATGACTAATCTAATCAAGAACTTCAGGCCAGTATGGGCCGCTTCCCCACACAAAGACGTACTACAGCAAGCTGCTCCTGGAAAATCCTACACTGAGTCACCATCGTTGTGACGAGTTGCGCTGTTGCATGTTGATGGTAAAGTTAACGTCATAAGTGTGAAGACCTAGGCAGCCTTTGGAGCTCTTCCAAACCAGGTATGGAACAGGATTGGCATCAAGCAGGAGACAAAAGGGGAATGGCATTCTGCTTTGCATCTAAATCGTTTTGGCAGAATATTTGCAGAATTTCATTTAAATGTTTTCCAATCACGGTACAAAAAAAAGCTAAATGGAACCTAATCTCTTCCAATGCCAAACCGCTTATTCTGCCTTTGACTATTGTTGGGTCTTGTTCAATATTGAAATTTCAGCCACATTTGGCAACTCTGTGCACCCAAACATCTCTCCTTCTAAAGCGTCGGCCCTTTGTGTCCCCGTCCTTACCTTTAGGTTCAGGTAGGTCGTCGCTCCTGTCTCCATTGTAGTTTCCACACAGGCCTCCAAGGCGTTGATAGTAGGAAGACGGCACTGTGATGTACAGTCTCATGTTCCAGTCATACTTAACATTCAGACCAAAGTCTGTGGTGAGTGTAGCATAGATTCCGCTCTGCTTTATGGAGACCTTGCCTCCCAACAAAGAGACTGGCAAGTACTGAAGCTCTCCATTCACCTGGACATTGATTAGAACAAACCGTTCTCATCAATCAAATCTGTTGCACTCCATGTGTACAATGTTCAAAAGAGAAAACAAGGCAGACGCTGGAGCTCATATCTTCACAACTAGTAAACTCGCATGAGCAGCATCTAGTTAAATAAATAGCAACAAGTAAGATGAACATTATCTATTTATGATTTCTGGGGTGAACTGTCTCACTAAAAAGGTAGTGTTGTACATTCGTAGTAGTATAGTTTGTAACTCTCATAAAGATTACCTTAAAGGAGACACATCATGTTCATTTTAACTTGTATTTAGGATTTTCACCTTAACACGTCCACGTGGTTTGATGTTAAAAAAGCATATCATTTTCTTGTTTTGTCTGTGTGAATATCCCTGTATTCACCTTCTGTCTGAAACCGTTCCAATTTAGCGCCTGTTCCTTTAAGTATTTGGGGGTTGGTAGACATGCCAGACAGCCACATTTACGAGTAGAAGCACCATTAAAGTGGAATTTTCATAATGTGTCCCTTTTTAATATCTGAACATTGACTGTTCCAATATGTAGTCCATGTAAAAAAAAACATGTTTACATCCAGTGTTAATAAATAGTTTGACTCAATAAGTAAATAACTAAACAGTTAATTGAAAGTTAAGGTTAAACTACATATTTCATTTGTGTGATAAGATGTAATGTTCATGGATGACTGGGCGGACGGGGGCGCGCGAGAGGGAATGGTTGGAAAACGGGTTTTGTTTAAAGTGCTACGGAAAGGGTAATATTTCCATGATGTGTGAATTATCAGCAAGATACTTTAAGGACTACCTGTGTGAGAAGTAGCAGTGAACTTCCACACGAAGTTTGACACGCTGCGACTTCACGTTACTTCGCTCGTTAACTCGGCGGGTGGCTAAAGTAGCACCGTGGACGCCGTTAGCCTGCTGCTAGCTAACCCAGCTAACCGCTCACGTGTCTGTTGCACAGCGTCAGCAGACAGAGGAATCCAACAGGTGTTTATTGACCATTACCGGTTTCTACAAACCCGAGCATCAAACCAGGCCGGCAACGCGTGTTATTTTAAAGGGTATTTTGCCGGCTTAGTTTAGTTGTTTCTGGGGTGCGGATGTGTGTGGCACAGTCACAATGAAAAGGGTGTGAAAGCAAAGTTACTAATGTTGTATTGTGTAACATAAAGTTATTTATTATCCTGTTTTTATTTCAATACATTCTCTTAGATTGAAGTGATACACTGGTATCACATATCTGTGATGTACGAAGTTTCTTTATTGATCCAGGAATAATTTTATAGAGCTAATTTAGGAATTAGAATAAAATTGAATTAAGTGAAGATCACAGGGCCCTATCTACCAATTCAGAGAGTAGACGGGCGACAAATAGATGAGAGCAGATCTGTTACCTGTACTTGTCCTCTTTGACTGCCGATGATTATTGTATGATTTTGAACACTGACGGTAACGCTCCTCACAAAAGCAACTCGGCTGTTGCCACGGTGGTTGTTCGTGGTCGTCACAGTGAACGGCAGAAGGTCGGATGCCGTCGTCACAACTGTTGTCATGATGTAAGTGCAGGTACCCTGAAAGAAAAGACGAATGTGATTGACAACTGAAGCAGAGTCCGATGGGAGTTCTTGAATGTCACACAGTTTGAAAGGCTCCAGAGGGTAGAATGTGAGTTTTGAGATGTGTCAAATAGGAAATGCATTGCTTTGACGTGACATCAAAACTGCATTCCTGAATTGTGCCAATGCAACAATGAAACGTTCCTTAAATGTACTAATTGGTTTGGTAATTGGCACAAATGGTGTTCAGAGCACATATTCCACTTTGACAGGAGTCCAAGACCACCTTCAAAATGTTACTTTTACTGTAGCAGGTGTGTATTTGTGTGTCTACAAAAACTGCCTCACAGTGATGTGTATTTTGGCGTTGGCCATTGTATTGTTAATAATTTAATGTCGTAGTACAACTGGTTAGTTTCTAGGTGCGGTGTGTGCTTTAGTATCAACCACCCTGAAAATCAGCTCACAATACATATTGTCCTCCTCCTAAATGACAAAAGGCAGCCTAATTCAATTGTGCTTCTGTTTGCTGCTTAAGGAACACTGCTTCTGCTGCAACGTTTCAAAGATGGGTCATGCCATACATGAGGATACTCTCCGCTCAGGTCATAAGAGTCTCTGTCCAGTTTGTCCCTGTCGACCTCAACAGAATAATAATAATAGTATAATAATAGCAGGTAATAAGACCCTGCACTGGAATAGCTGGTGATGATGGTTACCTGGAAATCAAAGCGTCGGCCATCAAATGTCAAGTAGTGGGGGTCACCAACCGCGTGGCAGGTTGCCGTAGAAACATGGACGCACTTTCCCTTCACACAACTTTCCTTTACACCACATTTGACCTGTTCACAGGGATCTGTGGGTGTTGGAGGAAGTGGAGTCTCTACAGGAAATAGAAACAGAGCATTTAGAAATACATGCAAGCACATATATGTTATTCCGTAACAAAACTGAAGAATATTCAGTGCAAAATATCAAAATGTATTTGATTTCTGACTTGTTTTTGTCTTCTTTAAACTCTTTCTGACTAAACACTTAAATACATTCAGTGTGTGTATACCTTCGGAACAAACTCCAGCAATGCCATATGCGTGGCGTGATTTACCACCATGGGCGTAGACTGCCATACGGGCGTCCCCTTCCACTGTCACATGACTCTGAAGTGTCCCCACTGCAACGTTGGACCACACCCACTGCTTATCGTCCAAGAAGTTTTGCCACTTAGGTGAGTGACACTGTCCCTCCTTCACACACACCTTCACACTGCCGGCCCCCTCCTTCTCTGACAGAATAACAACAGTGCTGGGAAGTTCACCCATTGTCTCCACCGCCCAATCCGTGGCAAACTTGGAGGTAGGGGTCAGTGTTATTAGAAAAGGGTCAAATGGCTTGTTGTCGCTAACAAGCAGCACCATAACGTTCTTGTTACTCTTGACAACCAGTGGGTGTTTTGAGATCAGTTTAATAATGGTGGCGTCCCCGGCGGTGCTCAGCCTCCTGTTGGTAGAAACACGTTCATTAGTTAGAATATTATAGTTCAAGTTTTGTTGAACTCATGATAGCGTCATCTATAACAAATCCAGTACAAGATGGAACGTTCTAAATAATACCAGTAAATGAAATTTGCTCTGATGTCATTGCGTTAACCCAATCATTGTCATTTTTTAAAGGGCCGGGTAGGATGGGAAGGGGGGAAACAAAGACAGCCAATAAAAGCCTTGGCTGTAGCTTCAACAGTATATTACAATGATTAATATTCCACTCAACTGTTTCCTCGAGTGCTGTGTCACCTCTGTGTTGTCTTCAACCGCTACTATCACTGCATAGTCTGTGGCCATAGCCGTGCCGGTCCTGGGTACAATGTATTCCATACCCAGGCTTGTAACAGCGGGGAGCTGTTCATACACATGTTCACACCGACCACCCAGCGACAGACACTGGTTGCCCGCTAGCACAGCTACAGGCTGCTGGGACCGGATCCGTGTGCCTGTCAAAGTGTCTTGACTTCTGACGAGGTAGGAGGCATAGGGTGCAAGGACAATGGCCACCGGCGTCCCACGCTGCCACCTCGTCCCCCCTGTTAGCCTTACGTTGGCATCAGGTATGATGGTGATCTGGTTCTGGTTATTGCCATTGACGATAGCAAATACATTGTCCATACTATTGCCTGTTGAGGGTGTGAACACAAAGTAGTCAGTGCCCAGCTCTTTGGTTGGGGAAACCACGCCGCCGTCTCCTGTGGCAAAGCGGCGGTTGAAAGAGACCACAGAGATCGCAGTACTGGATGAGATTCGAACAGCTGAGTTGGCGTTGACAAATTCCCTCTGCAGCTCGGCTCCACAAGGCAGAGAAACCCAACGGCTTTCACGTGGCGAGAGTCTCAGCTGCGTGTTGAATTTCACCGAAGCCACCTGCAGAGCAACACACCCCATTAAAACCCACTGAACCTTGTCTCTATTTTGAGACTGTCCCTTAAATTGACCTGATTCTAACCTGTATGTTAACATCGGCTTCAGAGCCCTGAGCCGTCAGAACCACGTGGAGGCGATGATCATTTCTACTGTCACTCCTTGCGTTAGGAAGAAATGTGGTGATGAACTCCTTTCCTGTAGAACAGCCATGACATGCTGGAAAAGAGAGGAGAAGAGATTTGCTCACATAAAATAAAGAGTAAAAAACGAGACTCCATGCGGTTATACCTGCCAAGAGTGCAGCACAGAGTGCCCAAAACACCGCCAGAGGCCTTGCTTCCATAGCTGATAGAGAAAGAAACATCCAAAAGGTTAAAAATGAATTTAAACCAATAAACAAAAGCACCAAGGATTTACATGTGTTAATACAGTAATTACATTTAACTCATTTTGTTTGAAGCTGGTACCAAAACTGCTGGAATGGACTGCTGCAAACATGCTTTAGAAGAATAATCAATACCACGCTGCAATAATCAGATTGATGTTTGCATCTATTTTAACATGCTACCACGCTGGAGCCCACGCTGCCGCTAACCACACTCATTGAAGAGAGGGAAGCCCACTAAAGGCTCTACAGTATCTAGGATATATGCAGCGAAAAGAGATTACAAGATAAAGGTATCAGCTGAATCACAGTGTAAACAGAATTCTCCCAATTCTTTTTTTAGACATTTATGTCTGCTAATTTACTTCCCCCATGATTTTAGGAAAAAGTTAGCAAGCTTAAAAAAAAAAAATTAAAAAAGAGAGAAGGAAAAAAAACTAAACAACTATGTCCTCTATTTTTTGAGATAGTGATGAAGTGCGTTTCATCAAACACAATTATAGTTTCTTGGGACTCGCTATCACTTCAGATACCATAAACATTTACTCATTAAACCCAAAGATAAGTAAATGAGTCAAAATCCATCACCACTATTATCACCTCAGGGATCCACACTGTACCTGCAGCCGAGTGTTTCCTGGTGAATCAGATTGGGAGGACACACACACACACATATATATATATCAGTGAGGCAGAGACACAGATATGTAAAGAGAAACGATGATCCGTTCTGCTAGAACAAAAAGCACATTGAATATTTGTGCGCTAGTGTTTGTTGTTTGGGCTGGTTATTGGAATAACGGCGGGCTTGGGAGTGGCCGAGGCCTGAGGTGACGGGTTTGACTGCTTTACTCTCTGTACATCTAAACGGTAAACAAATTAACGTCACGTCTTCATAATGACCCTTTGTAGTCACCGTCCTCCCATCGCTCCTCCTTATCTATGTTCTCTATTTGGTTTGCATTTGTTATTTTACACATCAGTCAAACAAAAATGACGTGTAATTTGATGAACTCTATTGCAAACTTACCAAACCTCTTTTTTTTTAAAGCATATCTTAAAGTCCCAAAAGGCCAAGTAATAGTTTCTTCATAATTCTGCATTAGATGATATGATAATAATACAACTTTGTTTGTTTAGAACAATTCAACAATAAGCAATTCAAAGTGCTTCACATAAAAACATCAAAACCATACGGCAAAATAAAAGGACATTTAAAAATGAGTTAATTTATTAAAATATATTTATTAAAAATAAACATAATAGGAAAAAGTTGCACTGCACCAGAAATGTAGGAACGGTCAGTTTTTAGGTATAACTAAGGTTCCACCCTAAACTTTCCTCAGCTCCCTGAACTAAACGCTTTGAAATGTGGTTCACTTGAAGGCAGCAGTTAACCAAAAAGTCTTTAGTCTCAACTCTCAGCAGATCGGCAGCCTGGGAGATTTTTCCAGATTTATGGGGCGGAAAAAATGTACGCTGCTCCTGACTTTGGTTCTGACTCGGAGCAGGAAGGACTGAAGGTCTCAGGTGACCTGAGAGGTCGGGAGGGTTCGTTGGTAGCAGCAGGTCAGACAAACCATCCAGAGCTTTATAACCAACAGAAGGATATTAAAGTCAATTCTTTGTTGAACAGGAAGTGGTGTGGTTCACTTTGCTGGTCTTATTGAGGACTCGAGCTGCAGCGCTCTGAATCAGCTGCTGTCGTCTCAATTACTTCTTACGGAGACCAGTGAACGCACCGCCACCGAAGATCAATGCTTTTCCAAATCCTGTTGAGATATAATTCCTCTAATCCTTGATATGTGATAGAAGGCTGATTTTTTAATTGTCTTCATATGGCTGTTCAGATTGAGGTGTGAATCCATGACTCACCTAGATTACTGGCTGGCTTTGTGGAGTTTAACATCAGCAACTTCATCCTAAACTAAAGACACACCTCTTCAGACTCTACCTCGACTAAAAGACTAACAAATTGTAGCACTTAAATTGTACTTATAACGCCACTTATCTATAGCAAATTGTAAATGGGCTTATTTGATGAAATTGCACTTTCTTGTTTCTTGCTCTTCTGAGTTTGTACCCTATAGTTCAATGCACTTATTGTAGGTCGCTGTGGATAAAAGCTTCAGCTAAATGACATGTAATGTAATGTAAACACAACTACTTCTGCTTTATCCTTGTTTCAATGGCAAAGAAATCTAGAATATCTAGTTTTTGAATGAATCCCTTAACTCATAAGATCAGTCACCACAGAAACAGACGGTACTTTGTTCTTTGTTTGTCGTTGTTTTTTGCGCAAAATATCCCACCGCATGGAGTCAGTTCACTGCCTCTAAAACTAACATGTACTAAAGGCGGAGATGGCCACAACCTGTGTACACTAGGTCATTAGCTAATCCGCTTGTCATGTGTATGTATGATAGCATGGGCTACAGTGTCACGCGGATGAACGGAATAATCACTCTGTCATCCCTGCTGCACAAAAGCTGATGGCAACAAAGCCAAATGTGCTCATGTGGCTGATTAGTGGCTGCAACTGTAACCGTTTCTTCTACGTGTCTATTACAATGATGCCATATGAGATATTTTCTTTGCACCACAGCATTTTACCAACATTATATCTTCTCGTCATCGCCCTTTGACCTCTTTGGATCTAGGATTGAATTGCGACAAATACACCAGGCTTCTGTGGATGGTGGTTCTATCTGATGGTGGTTCTGATGGCGGTTCTATCTGATGGTGGTTCTATCTGATGGTGGTTCTGATGGTGGTTCTATCTGATGGTGGTTCTGATGGTGGTTCTATCTGATGGTGGTTCTGATGGTGGTTGTCCCTGCAGTGGTCCTGACTTGCTACTCGGAATTATTTGAATCATTTGTACATCTTTTACATTGTGTGTATATATATATTCATTTATATACTGCATTTTTTGCATAAGATGTTCTTATTATGTTAAACTATTGGAATAAATGTTAAATATTTCACTGCAGAGTAATAATTCGTGTTTGAATCATACTGGGATGTTTATTGAAACTGATTGACTGGCCCTACCAAAAAACATCCACCAGCTGCTGTACATTTCCCCATTGTGGGAGTAATAAAGTATTTTTCTCTTTAAATGACAACAGCAACAAGTGTGCGACCACAAACTACTTTGATTAAACAACATTTTAAACTATTTTATTACCTACTTTATCAACTATATTCCTTCAAACGGTGAACCGATGAGTATCGCTGTGTACATGGATGAATGCAAATACACCTGCATGTAGACGACAACTGGTGCTAACACACATTCCATCGGATCAGGATTATTTATTTTTTTCCAGCATAGATACGTTTCATTGTGTTGACTCATCCTGTGAAAATATACGTACTTCCGGTATAGTGACTACGCTTGGTATTTTTGTTTTATAGGCAAAACCCACAGCGGGATTAACGGAGTAAAAAGTTGTCTGTCTGTCTCGTTTTTTGTTTCTAAACAAAAAACAGTCCCCCACTTTTTTACCGCTTTTGATTTCAAACAAAAAACGAGACAACAGTGTTTTTGTTTTATGGTTTTTACGGTAAAACGAAGAATCAAAAAGTACACGGCCACGGCCCCTACACTTAAAAAACAAAAGTAACTGTAGGATATTAGAAATAAACTGATGACCCGGTTCATGCATTTAGTGTACACCAGAATACAGCCATGATTCTGGAACTAAACTATTCAATAGAATAATACCAAAGTACAGCTATGATTGTATTTAATGTAATCAACTGGAATGCATGCATGTAATACCTGCAACACAACTGGTATTGACTGAGAGACATTCAAAATCCGAGTTCCAGTGAACTCACCAGTGACCACTCCCTCAGGTGTGGACACTAACTTTCACACCTTTACTGCTCTGTATAAATACCTGTAGACAGCCATTGTTCTCCAGTTCGCTGGTGGAAGCAACACACAGTCACTGTGGGGGGTTAGTTGGAGAGACCAGCTCAGCTGAGATGTTCTTTTGACCACAACACCCTTTCTTTTATTAAATACTTTTGATTTTAACTTCCAATCCAAGATGTCTTTTGTCCGTCTGACTTTTTCTATTTTATAACTCAATAACTCATTTAATGAGTTTGATGTAGCCATTTGTGACATGTCTCACACTGAGCATAATTTATCCAATAAACATGAAGAGGTGATGGGATTAAACATTTTCAGACAGCCCTATGTTTGGCATGCTTACAGGCAGCTCAACGTTTAAGTGCAGCACAAGGGGGGGGTTGCTTGGAGATTCCAAAACACAAGCAATGGGAATTCGTTCATTTCCTTGTGCTTTTGTCCCTGCTGAACCCCACTGTGGACTCCTGGATTAGGATCAATAGATTAGGTGTACTAATTGTGCTTGTCAGCGGAAAAATTAAATGAATTTGTCAGCAGTCTTGGCACGGCGTCAGGAAATGTTTGAGTGGATGACCTCTGGGGCTCCGGAGCGCCAAGGGGAGGGTGTATAAAGGTGCAGATACGGGGCCACAGTCAGCCTGCAGTGGGACACTGTCCCACAAACACCTCCGGCAGAGACAAGGTGAGACGTAAAGACATCCTGCGAGCGTACTTTTACTTAAATAGTCAGACTGAATGTCCTTAAATGTAGACTTGTTAAGTGTGAAGTGAATATCATTGGTTTTAGATATTTAAAGACGTAACCATGAAAGTCCGAGAAATTGAAACTAACAAACAAACATTAGTTTTAAAGCGAATAAAACTAAATAAAGTGTTCAATAGCGTTGAGTAGGGAGATGAAATGTTTGATGTCGTCTCTTATCTTGTTGAGGTTTTCCTTGGGGGGAGTCTAGACTCATGACCTGAATATTTCTACAGCTCCGCACGTGTTTACTTTACCGAGAAACCCTTTAGTTATCAGATATACTCCGATGAGGTAATCCAGCCGTCAATAATTCACCTTCTGACTCTCCCAAAAGATGAATGTTCCAGCTCTGGCCTGCGTGCTGATGGTCATCTCCACTGTCCGTGCCTTCCAGTATGCGGAGCTGGCGCGGTACATTGACAGCCATCAAGAGGAATATGTGGAGGTACAATATAATTATTTTTCCTTAAGTAATGCGTTCGAGAGTCCAGGCTCTGAACTTTCAGTCAAAGAAGTAAAGATACCAAAATGAAAGCACAAGGTTTGTTTATCCAATAGATCAACCAGATGTGTTGAGAAAATAATGGTGCAGTGATGTGAAGGTCATGGTTAGATCACGTGTTGCAATCTGTGACACAGGGCTGTAGAAATATCACACACGTGACTAATTAAGCAACATAAATAAAAGTAAATAAAGTGAACTTCTGTAGATTTTGTAGGTGTATGATTGATTCATGGGATTTTAAGATTTTAACACAAGAACTTTGTGTACTTTGTATACCCACATATGGACAGAAGGTTAAGTGACGCCACTGAGGGTTTGAATGGGTGTCTTTCAGGCTCTGCGGGACTGGGTTGCAATTGAAAGCGACTCCAGCAACGTCTTCAGGAGACCGGACCTGCACCGCATGATGGACGTGGCGGCTCAGAAGCTGAGGCTCATGGGAGGGACTGTCGAGCTGGTGGACATCGGAGAGCAAGAAGTCAGTGACAGGGCCGATTCTACGCTTTAGTGAGATATGTAATCGTCACCCTAATTGATTGGTAGAGAGTGCGCTTTTCAAACAGCGAGCTCGGCT